TTTTTTTAAACACGCTTTAATGAAATGTACCGTACTAGTAATGTAAGAACTCCACGACTGCACTAAGTGGCCCTGAAGCTTGTCACAACGTAAGGGGACCGTGGTGATTTACAGCCAACGTCAGTTGAGCGTGGACATTTAGACCCAAGCCGAAACATAACATACAAAAAATAATGTTTAAAAAATATGTTTTTTTTAATGATATAATATAATATTGTCATCAGTATGACATAAGTATACCAAGTTTGCAGTCGATACACACATTGGGAAGTGGGTTAAAATTGAGTTACAAAATTTGAGGATACAACAACAACAACAACACCAGACAGTGAGTTAAATAAAAGCGTGTAAAATAATAATAATAATGATACGAGCCTAGCTAGGGGACTCTGCAAGGCTTTCTCTGGGTGGACACGCGGAGCTGCACCGCCACGACTACTATCCCCAGGACCCCCCTCGCGTGTGCGTGGACACCGCTGGACGAAGTCCGAACTTCAGACCGCCGTCAGATCACCTTCTCACCTCACCAGAGAGGTGGGGTGGGGGGTGGGGTGGGGGGTGGGGGAGCCTTCCTAAAAAATATAACAACTCCGTCGTGACGATTCAGAATGCTGCCTCGCAGCCGGCGAGAACTTCCAAGCGAGGGAGTTTTTTTTTTAAAGTAAACAACCCTCTGGCTCACGGTCGAGTGCCGCACGGAGGAATTGACAGCCCCTTGCTATCAGTGGGTCCCGCTCGGAATGCAGGTGAAGGCGCAGCCCTGCAATTTGGGGCCGTCCATAAATGACGTCACGCACCTAGGTGGGGGGGTCAGATATTTGTGACGATGTGTGACGACGGGGGGGGGGGGTGGTTGAGAAATGTGACGTCACATAAAAATGAGCAACTTTAAATAAATATAGACAACACGTTCTACTTAATTAAATAGACTTTTTTATAAATGTTTTCTCCTACAACATCAGAGTGCACAGCGGCACATTAAATACGCACTACAATGACAATAGTTTATAGCGATTTGAAGCATTTTGGGGGGGGGGGGGTGGGCAAAGCTTTGTGACGTCATATTTGAGGGGGGATCTGACTTTTTGTGACGCCGTGTGACGAGAGGGAGGGGGGTGGATGTCAAAAATCGTCCAAAATTGCGTGACGTCATTTATGGACGGCCCCTTTGCTCACAAGGGCCACTGTCGGCGCTTGAAAAAAATTAGGTCCGAGAGTGTTTTTGGCCTACTCTTCCATGCTGGCCAGAACGTCTTGGAATAAACCTGGGAGTGTCCGCACACTCTGCCTCGCCTACCACGCGTTGGTGGCTGCCGATCGGCTGTGGTGGTGGTGGTGAACCCTGGAACGGGCTTTGAAGAGGCTAGCGCCGTCGCTTCGACTGCGACGTGGGAGACCGAATACAAACGGCGACCTCCCAAATCATGGGCCACTTTATTGAGCTATCATTTGTGGGATTTGCCTGGTGGGATGGAGATAGTTTAGTTGTGTTTGTATGTGTTTGGGTGGTTTCACCTTTATTGTACTTTGCACTCCTCTCGCGTTGTTGTACTGTTTGTTAACGTTCTCACCCGCCCCTGTGAAATAAAAAGCTTTGTAGCTCATCGGATTCCTCCAGCAGTATAAACAAATATTCTGATTTCGCAGAGCAAAAAAAATTCACACCAGACATGCCGAACAAGATCGCGCCACAGCCCCAAAACACATCGGAGCCGCTGCATAGCACAACCGCGCAAAAAATACGCAGCCGTGTTACTTCATAGTCGTTTGGTTGACCAGCGTGTGTGAGCTGTGAACCCGTCAGCGTGTGTGTGAACCCGTCAGCGTGTTTGTGTGTGAACCCGTCAGCGTGTGTGTGTGTGAACCCGCATGCGTGTGTGTGTGAACCCGTCAGCGTGTGTGTGTGTGTGAACCCACCAGCGTGTGTGTGTGTGTGAACCCGTCAGCGTGTGTGTGTGTGAACCCGTCAGCGTGTGTGTGTGTGAACCCACCAGCGTGTGTGTGTGTGTGAACCCGTCAGCGTGTGTGTGTGTGAACCCGTCAGCGTGTGTGTGTGTGAACCCGTCAGCGTGTGTGTGTGTGTGAACCCATCAGCGTGTGTGTGTGTGTGTGAACCCGTCAGCGTGTGTGTGTGTGAACCCGTCAGCGTGTGTGTGTGTGAACCCGTCAGCGTGTGTGTGTGTGAACCCGTCAGCGTGTGTGTGTGTGTGTGAACCCGTCAGCGTGTGTGTGAACCCGTCAGCGTGTGTGTGTGAACCCGTCAGCGTGTGTGTGTGAACCCACCAGCATGTGTGGTCCATGTTTGCACGTCCATGAGCCTCCTGCCCCCCCTCTCCTCCTCCTCTCTGCACGCATGTTGAGTGAAGCAGGCGAGCGCCTCTCAGCAGGAAGTGACATTCCTGAGCTCTCCATCATTACCCACCTCCTTAGCCGGGTATCTCTGCTCCCCTCCGACACGCCGTGCACCCCCCCCCCCGCCCCCCCCCCCCCCCCCCCCGGTGCAAGCGAACGCTCGTGGTGGTGGCGCTCGGACACGAGTGAACGGAGCAAAACGCTTGAGCACCCCAAGTCGACCGAAGGGGGCCCCTGGAATCATCTATCAGCTCAAATTTGATTCCTACAAAAAATCTTGAATAATGAATTATTTTCTCTTCACCCATAATGTTCGTTTCGTTTCTCAATCAGCATGTCTCTCACCTAACTGCCATCATGTCTGTCTCTTGTACACATTTCTCTCATCTCTCTACATCTCTGTCATCCGTATATCTCTTGAGCTATTTGTATTTTCCACATTTCTCTCATCTCATTACATCTCTGTCACTCGTATATCTCTTGAGCTATTTGTATTGTCCACATTTCTCTCATCTCATTACATCTCACTCTCTTGTCTAATGTCTCTTCTGTTATGTCCCAGGAGTTTAGAAATTGAATGGTGAGGTGGGGCAGGGGGGGCAAAATGATTTCTGTTTCAGGCACACAGTGAGCCCACCCACCCACTCCGCACGCCGGGATATACCCCACAGCGCCGAAGACGTTATCTGCACGGAGATAGAAAACAAAAACCATAAGCGCACCCAATTTCACGCAAATGTTGTTTGCCGTAAATTGACATCGCCGGGGCTATATTTAAATGGATGGCTTGGGGATAATGGGGTCACGGAGGTCACGATATGAGTGCCCCCGCCTTGGCGCGGGACGGCCGTGATGGAGAGCGTCCCAGAGGCTGCGTTATAAAACACGCATCGATCGTTGCTCCAACAGCAGACGGACGGTGGATATGTTGGCACGCTGTCGACTAAGAGCCTATAATTACGCTCTTCAATCTGCTGCCTTGCTGCAGCTTTATTTACAGCTTTCTCTCGAGGGCGCTTAATGTTTCTAAGTGGCAAATTGGAAAATAACGTTGTCTCGATGCGCCCCGCGCGCGCACACAGACGGCACTCGGCCGACGATCAATAACAACTCCCGATATCTTCTCGCCGTCACCAAAACACGAACAAAACATCCGTAATACAGTTTTTTTTCGGTTAGATCGCATAAATACAAACGTGTCGTTAAACCCGCGACCACCCGACACAGCCAATTAGTAAGGTTTGTCGCATGAATAGAACATGCCAATTCGTAACTAGTACAGCACACCCGGTGTGTTGGAGAGTAAATCCACAACATTTACAAACTGAGTATAATCTGAGTATAGGCAACCTGCATTATGGATGATATCGGTCGCGAAAGCCCACGTGTTCAACGAACGAAACAGCGGTAGCAGCACGTTGGTGGCGGAATGCGCGTCATCGTCCGTTCGTTAAAGCTTTCGCGCGGGAGGACGTCCGACAAAGGGCTTCGTTTTAATGTCAGGCCTTCAGTTTCTCCATACTCACCAGTGGCACATCCCGTGGGCAAATGAGGACCAAGTTGAAGGCACCGTATACTTTTCCAGGTCTCGTGGTGGCGCTCACCTTATAATCCAGCGAACCGGGGGTTAAGGGTTGCTCCGTCTCGCAGATTTGTGAAACTCCCGAACCGCTTTGGGCTCTGAGGTGGCAAGGTGATGGCAGCATAGAAAATGGGTTCTTGAATCTATCCACGCAAAACTTTTGGGCGGTGTCTCCTTGTACGCTTGGATTTTCTCTTGGTACTCCGCTTTCTTCCTGCATGCCAAACACTGAAATTCATGGTAATGGGTCAAACATTCCGATATAGAACCCTCCGGGAAAATAGTTCAGACACAGTGAAGCTTTCTTGGATTCTGAATATGACTGTGATGGCTCACTCGGTGAGTTCTACCCTTGGTCAGGGTCAATTTGGCCTGCGCTGGCTGAATAGTAATATGAGTAAGCTGTATGTCTTCAGCAGATGTGAGCCCACCAAGAACTAAAATATATTTTTCTAGGAAGACCTTTGTTAAAATAGAACACACAAAATATATTCAGAACCATAAAAAAAATCAGACTGTTTATGTTATTAAGGAATACATGGCCCAGTCATGGCAACGTGGAATCTCCTCAACTGGCTCAGGGCTGCAAGCAGAGATGAACACCGCTCACTGCTTTATAATCACGTGACAACATCGTCCCTCTCCAATCAATTCTGTCCGAAATCTGTACAGTGTCTTGGCTGCAAAACATTGTTTCCAGTTATGAGCCAAAACTTTTTATATTTCAGCTGCACTGCCTTTTCTTCTTTGAGCAGTGCAAGTCATTGTTTCCCTGCCTCTAGGCGCATTATAACTTTCTATCAAGATCTAACAGAAAATAATAATATTAATCATCTGAGAATACAGAACCGTGTCACCAAATCACCCGGAGTGCACCTGATCTCATCAGATGTTCGAAGTTAAGCGGGGTTGAACCCCTACATTGAAAATGCTTCTGGGCAACGGGACAGCTTTTCGAAAACTGGGACTAGCCCAGCCAAACCATGCGTGTTCGTGGCGGTTAGTTTAATATTTTATAATTTCTGTATCTCTTACCCCACCTCCTGCTTATTACCCTCACCCGCAGACCACGTGTGGCCACTCCTGCGAGAGTTCGCAGTGTCTGCGTGCGGCGGGGAGACGGTGTCGCTGAGCTGCCCACGCCACACGGCGCTGCGCGTGCAGGGCGCCACGCGCACCGCGAGAGCACACGCCCCCTGCCCTTCTCCGCCATCCGCTGCCCACGCCGCTGCCCACGGCGACACCGGCCGTGCCCACAACTGCACGGACTCTGCCCTGCTTCAGGTGCTTGCCCAGCACCGTCGCAACGTGAACATGAAAAAGTGAAAAACCGATTATTATTTTTTTTTTAAAGAGAAAGGTGACGAGGGCCCTGGGTGACGTGTGTGTGAGAGGTGGGATTTACAATGAAGCCAACAGCTTTCTTGTCTTCTCCACCGGAACACGTGGTGAGCTGACAGCCCCTCCCTCTAATTAGCCCCACCTACTTTTGCATAGCCACGCCCACTCAACCACTATCCCAGCCCACGTGGCGAGTGGCTTCCTCGCTCTTTCGGAAGTTTCCCGTATCGCGAGTCGCGCATTAGACCTGAATATTTTTAGCCGGGACAGAAATACGAAAATTTGCAAATGCTTCGGAGCACCTGGACAGGCTCTTGTGAAACGAGCACTCGTTCCAGCCAAAAAAATGACGTTTGGAAGCTTTGGAGTAGGGTCAAGTTAGGATTAATGCTGAGAGTCTGTGGGCTACGTTGTTTTGGTTAGGGGTAAGGGTTGGCTTGTGTTGTCCATCAGCTGAATTTACTCTTCTCCACTGGTGGAATATCACTAAGGGGGGTGGGGGGCCTGGGGACGCTCGTCCTCTCATAATGAGCAGCAGCGCCCTCCTGTGTGCCCCCTAGGCTGGCCCCCCATTCAGAGGCAGCTCTTGAGGTTGCTGGCGAGGAACTTAAGTACAAGTGAAAGAGCCATGGGCGGAGTTTGCGGGGGGGGGCAATACCCCCCCCCTAAACTGAGCGCCTTTATTAATTTATTTCCAGTAGTTTACAATTAAGGTAATAAATAAATGTGTTATATACGGCCGTGATTCCTAATGTGAGGGACAAAGAAACCCCTGCCCCCCCCCAATATAGAAGTCAAACTCCACCTATGAAAATAACTCATCGTGACCACTGCCATTAATAACGCAACACTCCGCCGTCGCTTCCTTCCTTCTGCCAGATACCACAGCTGTTGGCGCAGTGAACACCACACCTCCACGTTCTGCCGTTGTAACTTCTTTCCTATCGTGAAATGTTACTTCATGTGTTTTTTCTCCTGTGTCCCAGGATCCCTATGGTCTCACTGCCGATCACGGCCTTTCCACTTGCCGCTCGCTTTCTCGCGATGTTTAAATCATCCTCGTCGCACACCGACCCCTCCCTAACCCCCACAACCCCGTCCCCAGGCACATGCGCTTCAAGCCAAAGCTCAGTGCAGTAAGAATTTCATTTTACCCTGCTGTGGGCGATGCACACCTTTGTCCACTGGTCACCGAGGGGGTTTGCGTAGAGAGTCTGTGAGAGAGAGAGACGCAAGGGGCACGACAGCGGAAACGTTTCTCACTGATCTCCGTGGGCTTCCTGTAAAGGTTCTCCAAGACCATCAAACAAAGGAAATAAATAAATACATTCCGATCGGTCACGAACGATTGAAGTCAAGCACTGCTTTAGAATGCTGCCCAAAACCATAAAATGTGCCGAATTCAACCGAGTGAGGCTCTTACCGGTCGTGCCGTATGTACTGAATGTGTGTTGAACTTCTTTCACACCGTACGGAGCCAACCGTACTAATTGGAGGTGCGGGGGAAGGACAACAAACTGAACGCAAAAAAGCAGTTAAAAATAAATTAGTTTTCAATCTCGATGTAAAAGTGCAAAGCTCCAGTGGCTCCCTAATATCGGAAGGAAGAGCGTTCCAGACGGCCGCAGAAGCGCGATGCATTGACCGTCTTTGTTCGATTGGCTAGCCAAAAGCCGCTGCTACGAGGATGAGCGGATTTCGCGTGATGGCTGATGCTCCTTGACGAGATGGACAAGCTATTGCAGATTATTGGTGGCGAGCATTGTGTGTGCAATGAGCGAGAGCGTATAACATGCCAGTTTAGGTTTACAGAGAAAATGTAATAAATGGCAAACGCTTGGAGTGAGGCTTGAGGGTTGAGCGAGCGAGCGGGGAGGAGGATGGGGACCGCTAAAGACCCATCCGAGCAGACAGGTGCGTTGCGTTGGGGCAGGGAACCTCTGAGGCACTCTTTGTTTAGCCTCAGACGTTTGAGGCAACCGGAAAAAAAAAAGTTAACCACGGAGAAATGGAAAGAGGTGGTTGTTGTGGCAGGGGGGGGAGGAAAAAAATATTGGTAAAATTTCAAATGAATCCCTCTCTGTGTGGTACAGGGTATATGTTTTGGAAATATGTCTGGCAAATTGACAGTTGCCAGGAGTTGAGGCGGAATCCTGGTTAAGAGTTGTTTCAAAAGAACAAGCGAGGCTTTAATAAAGTGGAATTAAAAGAGGCATGTACAGGAGTTTGGCTCTAATCCCTCACGATGAGGGCCAGACCTTGAGCGTGCTGTTCCGTCCGTATTTAAACAGTAATCATGAATGTTATGGGGGGGGGGGTGAGAGGTGTCTGTGTGTAACTTAGAATACTTATTATTTGGTTCTTTCGGTAAAGTCACGTAGATAGAAAATATAATAATAAAAATTTAAAATAATCAGGCGGATGACGACCACTTGCGTTGCGATCTAATCATCGTGAGTTTTTTTTATTTTAAATTTTTAATTTATTTATATAATTTTTTATTTTATTTTCGATCTATATGACTTTACCGAAAGAACCAAGGAATATGAATTCCTGCAGGCACGAAAGTGTTTAACTTAGAAGACTGTCGCGGTGCAATGGTCAGCGTGCTGGGCTTGCAATCCAGAGGTGGCCGGTTCGATTCTCTCTCAGCGCAGCAGTTGAAACGATGGTGCAAGTTCCGTTAACCGCCCCCTCCCCAACCTCTGTCTGAGCCCGCAATTTTAATCATGGGCACTCCAAGTGTCTGTCCGTATGAAGCAAAAATACTCATTGAAGGTTAATTTGCTCAAATATTCCGATGCAGGTCCCGACTGAAAAAAATAATATCGTGTCATCGTGAGCGAATACTTTTACAGCACGTTACAAGTTTAAATTATTATTATGATTAAAACGACCTATAAAATCAATGGTGGAGCTCTGGCGTTACACGATGCACCGCCATGTGTTCGACGACACAAAAAAATTGGTATTTACATAGCACCCAAATTCAACCTCATGCCGCTGTACAGAAACATTGCGCATATTTTTTAAACATCCATGCACGATGTGCGGTATGCGACGCGTCATTGCGAAACATTTTACTGCGTGAAGCATTGCTACACGCTGTACTGTTGCGCATTGTAACACGTGTTATCATTGCGTTACGTATCCCACGCCGTCCTGTCGTGCGTTATGTATTCTCATGTACCGTTATGTGCCGTGCCGTCACGTCGCAGCGTGCTCTGGAGCAGTGCCAGGACAAGCGGCACTGTGAACTTCGCCTCCCTGGCAGCCCCCTCAGCCCCCACGGCCGCCCCCCTGGGCCCCATGGCTGCCCGTCGTCGGTGGCGCGGCACTCCTTGTCCTACCGCTGCCGGCCGAGTGAGTCCCTCACCCCAGGCCGAGCGCAGAGAGCATTCGCACAGACGCAAATCCACGACTGAAACCCTCTGCTACCTTTACAGCAATCCTAACACGGATGCTAACCCTGCACCCGGGTCGAGTATTTAAAGTTTTTTTTAAGTATTATATAACTATTATAAAACTTACTCTTGGATGGCGCCACGATGTGATGGATTCGCACACCAGACTTCCAATTCAGAGGTCACCAGGTCGATTCGATCTCCCGGCATGGCAATTGAAACAACTGTGCCATTTTTTTGAATTCCCCCGCCTCTGTCCACCTAGCGTCAGTACGAACGGGTCCGGCACAGTTAGCCGATTGACACGTCGCACGTGGTGGGGTAAAGTGTGGGTTACTGCCACTTATTTCAACACATCTCATCAACGTGGAAGAGTGGGCCAAAGTACGCTCCTCTGGAGTGAAGGCCTCTTAGTGGAGGCTTTTTGCCCAGGTTGGTCTGAGCAAGCAATTCAGAATCAGCATTTATTTACACTGGAGGAATCCGATGAGCTATAAAGCTCTTTTTCACAGATGTCCAGTAAGCAATTCCAAGGGCTACACCTTCTACCTTCACTTTTTTCCCACCCTCACCCTGACATCGATCGCAGTCTTGACCTTCATCATGCCACGCTGTAGCCGTGGACGTACCCTTCCCCTCCCACCGCCCCGCACGTCGAGCAGGGTGCGCGCATCCGTGGTCGCGTGCCTTCACGCCGGGCAAGGCATCACCGGGGCGTCTCAGTCTCTCGTGGACCCCTTCTGCCCGCAGACGAGTACCAGCGCAAGGTCGCCTGCGAGGAGGACTGGCTGCAGCTGCGCTGCAAGAATTCGCGGGTGGTGGCGGTGCAAGCCGCCACGTTCGGGCGATCCATGGACGGCGGCCTCGAGTGTCCGTCGCCGCAGGCGCGCGCCTCTGACAGCCGTGAGTTTGGCGAGGGTGCCCGACCCCGCGAACAGTATCGTGCAATCCTTACCGTGACTATTCGCAGTTTTGCCATGCGACTCAAAAAAGTCAATTCATTTTGTAACGTTATTTTTATGTGTACTAAACTAAAATAATGGGTTTTTTTACCGGGTAAGGCCCACTGAGCTATGTAGCACCTGGAGACAAATCCGCGATCACTTTATTATCGTCTCTTGTGCTGCAGGGTTTACATGGCCCAATTATGTACTGTGTAGTTATATCAAAGGAAATAATGTATTGTTACACATAGGATCCGTTACATATAATGTTTGTAACCTTAAGCATCGATTTTTAACCGATGCTGCTGCAGTGTAATGTTAGCACATCAGACTTGCAATCCAAAGGTCGCCGGTTTGATCTCCCAACGCGGTAGTTGAAACTATGGGTCACCCAGCCTCTGCTATCAACCCAGCAGTATAATTTGGTACACCGCAGTGTACAATCTGGGTATTCCCACCTCTTCTAAGATATCTGGCCAGCACGTAGTAGGCCAAATACCCTTTAGAGTAGGTCTCTAGAACGCCCTGTATTGGAGGCCCTTCTACCAGCAGTCGTGCGAGACAGGAATTGCAGGGCTGGGCCTTTACCTTTTAACCGATCTGTCGATGCATCTTTGCGTGCCTAATCGTGATAGCTCATGGACCTTGGGCAAACAAAGTCAGGCCCTGGTGCCGCTCCTGGACCTGGACAGGGGAGTTCCTGGGCCAGCGGAGCCTGCTTTACATTGATTGTAGATTCGATGCAATACCTCCACCCCGTGTCCATGTGTGTGGGGAGCGGTATTCGAGCAGTCAGCAAGCTGCGTTATGAACCCGGTAATCTGGGTTCGATTCCGGCTCACGGCCAACACCAGTGACAATTATGTGAACCGGACATGGGCTTCCCCGAGGTCGATTCGGCTTCAAATGAGCACCTGGTGCAGTATGTAAACATCGCCACTGGGGAGACAAAGGCGGCCGGGCGTGATGTTGGCTACCCACCCCTTCGTATAGCAATGCCGGCCTTCATAGGTGCTCGCGAACAGCATTTGCCCCAACCGTCGTGTCAGGCTATATGGGGGGGGGGGTGGATCTTTGTCTTTGCAGAGTGCCAGTCTCCGGAGGCGCTGGCTGTGCTGGTGCGGAGGTGCCAGGGCCTGACGAGCTGCAGCGTGGAGACGCGATCGGGAGCCTTGGGCAACCCCTGCCCGCCCGGCGTGCGCAAATACCTGGCTGTGCTCTACACCTGCGGTAAGCAAGGTCCCTCCACTTTCCTACCACCACCACCACCACGGTCTCACCTATAGAGAGGTAGGGAGAGAGGTTGCTAGATAGATGGAATAGACCGGCTTGATAGATCGATTGATAAACGGATGTTAGATAGATGAATAGAATGCATGATTGGTTAGCCGCATAGATGAACTGGCGGACAGATGTATATGGATCAATAGAAATATTGGTCGAGACATTGATTAAAAGGGTGTATAGATAGACGCAAACTTTCCATCTTTGTCGGAAACTTTGCTAAATCAAGCTCTGCCCTGACCCTGCTCTAACCCTGTCCACTTTGGGCCTTTATACAATTGTGAAATGGAAGGTGGTGGAATTAGCTGTGTATTTGCATGCTGAATTTATAATGGTGGAACAATGCTTGTATACAAAAGCAGCCATCGTTCCACCAAAAAATATTCCAGAATTGTGGCCAAAATAGCAACGTGAACTGTGCCATGCAAGTCCTTTTATTAAGGGATACCTGAGTATAAAACACATACAAGAAAACAGCAAATAAATTCCACTTTCATCCCAGATTGTTTTACTAATAATGCCGAATGACTTAATCCACATTGGAGATGAGGAAGCAGGAAACGATGGGGCATGACGGCTAGGATATTGGAAGCCCTGAGTTACTTGTGGGACAGCCCAATCAATCAGATCGTCAATCAGAACACCAGAATGTATCACGAATTATTTTATCACATTATTCATAACCATACAGTTCTGTTCTACCATACCAGAGTTGCAGCAGGGGACACAGAACTATATAATCCAAAATATCTGTTTCATTAATGTCATTTGAGCTTTTATGGTTTCTAAATATGCTTACACAGCAGCTCATTGTGACATGAAGGCCATTTAATCGGCGGGTCATTCTCTTATAGAGGGATATGTATGAGAAATGTAACGTATTTAAAGAGAAAGGCTCAGTTTATACGGAGCTCTGTGTGTCCCGACAATAAACATTTTTCAAGTCACGTAGAAATGAAAGAGTTGAAGTCATTACAGAAATGACACCAACCCAGAAGCCATTTAAAACCTCGATTGAAAACTAATTTCTTTAGATCTGCTTTTTACGTCTAGGTTTGTTGTCCTTCCCCCGTACCTCCCATTAGCACGGTTGGCTGCGTACGGTGCGAAAGACGTTCAACACACATACATACATTGCGCCACAATTCAGCAAGGCACCCGCATATGCCACCAAGGCTGGGAATTACTTTTTAACGGCACTTGGCCCTAAATAAATAAATAAAACTCGCCAGCACTCGGGGCGGGAGGGGAGGTGGTAATACCATTAGGGCCCTCTCGCGAGCCTTTGATGAGCGCCGTTGGCCGTTGTTGCCAGGACTCTGTGTTCACAGCGCCACTTTTTTTTTGTTACAAGTGCCCTGTTTGCTGACGACTCTACCGCCCACGTGGCAGTGGGGACTGCACGGGGCTCTGGACAATCCCACCGGGCACTGCGGGGGGCGGGGGGGGGGTTAGCCCGTGCAGTTGCGGTCCATGTCTGTTCTACCCCCCACCCCTCGCTCTCTTCTCGCGAGGGGGAAATAAATCCAACGGCGTAAATGGACTTGCGGTTACGTAATTAGCTGCCCATTAGCAGAGTGCTCACAGGTTTGGACAAGTAACTCGATTAATTTACGCATGCGGGGCGTGGGGCACGGACCGACCCTGCCTGGGTTTGAAGGTGTACAGCGTTTGTATGTATTTATTCTAACACGATTTTGCGTTCCCGTTAGAATTGATTGACAAGGTGCATTTTTAGAGCATTTAACTGCTGCTTCAGCTCTAAACGCCTTGAATGTGTAGTCGTACTTAATGCCGCCATGTAATTTGACTTGCATTTTTTTTAGGATAAAGTAATGTGCTACAGTAGATTTCTTTTAGATTTGGAATCTCAAGACGCTGTACAAAAATGACAAATGCAAAATGAGTCCAGTTGGTTTATTTGCTTAAGCTATGGGGTTTTATTGAATGTCCTTTTTATTCAGAAAAGCCAAACAGGGTCGAGACTATTTTAAGAGGAACCTGCACTGAGACGTTTGATCAATTTAGTTTCGTGAGTGTTTGGCATATGGAAGGAAACCAGAGTACTTGGAGAATACCCACGCATACGAGGAGATAACTCAAGGCTCTGCACAGATCAATTTTAAAAATCCATTTGCTGCCTGTCTATCCCCTGGCTCTCTCACAACCTTGTGGGTTTGGGAGTTAAAAAAACAAACATTTTAAAACTATTTTTATTTACCAATGAAGGCCCATTGAGTTTTTTTTCCGGAAACAACCTGGCCACAAATAATAGCGCAACGAAGTGGCTTATCATTGTATGCAAATCTATAGCAGCCAGCCACTCCATACGTATGTGGATTCTAAATGTGGAGGGAAAAAAACGGAGGACTCGGAGAAAAATCAACGCGACCACGGGGGGGGGGGGGGGGAATGTAAACTGGTGGTTGTTTAACAGTGCTCATTTATCCTGGCAAAATAGCCGCGTGGTATGGTTTTTATTTGCAGGGGGGGGGGGGGGTTCTTCCTTGGGATGTTTGGCCAATTCCACAATAAGCGTTTGAGCTTGAGTAAAATTGACATGTGTGAAAATTATTTGTCTTAACATGTCACTGAGTGATGCCTGCGTTCAGTACCAGCAAACAGCATCGAGAGAATAAATAGATTTGCATTCAAATATTAAACTCGCTGCTTACCACTCTTCTAAGTAGCTTATATGATAGACATCTTCTAGGAGAGCAACCGTCAGCACTGAACTTGCAGACTGAATGTACACATGCATATATTTCTAACAAAATAATATGTATTCATATCATGGGATATTTGTTATCATAATAATGACACGACTAAACTATAAATAAATAACATTTGTCAGTCTTGGTCAGTCCACTTCTGGACGAGAAGCTCCCTACACCGTTCGGGTTGAGTTAAAAAAATATATATTTTACATTTCTCACGTGCCAAAGTTGTTTTTGTGCTGATTTCTATTTCCTTTTTTAGTGTCATTTATTTGATTCAATTAGTTTCCATCCTTTTTGGTGACCCAGATCAAATAGGACTCATCCTGCTGCTCACTTAAAAAAACATGGGACTCATCCTGGTCTCTTCAGTTCTCACGTGGCTATGAAACTCTGCGCAGCGTGAAATCGGACAAAGCAAACCATCACGAACGTGTGCCCCACAGTCCCGCGCAGGGTGTTGGACGACCGCAGGCCCCGCGGAGTGCGACTCTCCAGCCACTCGCGCTCACTGCCGGAGCCCCGAGCCGCCCCCTCCCTGAGCCGGGAGTCGCAGGCAGCACCGCCGGGGCCCGCCGGCCGCGGGCATCCGCACGGATACGCAGTGCGCGACGCGGCGACGCACTACTCGCCTCCCGGTTGGTTTACAACAACAACAGTAGCAGCCGCCGCCACTCGTCACTGAGCGGCGGTGACGTCAACCACGGCGCTTGTGTCAGGCCAGGTGCACTCCGAGGGCCACGTCGAGTTGTCGAAGGCTCGCCGACCGGAGGTCACGGGACAGGCACAGGTGTCGTGGGTTGACTGACTGTGATGACTGGCAGATGCACCACCCCGTGTCTCCTACTGTGCCACACGAACTACACAGGCAAAAACAAAGACGCCTCCCAGGGTTAGCCTGCATAAGCTGTTGGGGCAAGTGCTGTTAGCGGGCATCTATAAAGGCCAGCACAGCACACGAGGGGCTGGTGTTGTGGCCGGGATCAATGCCCAGCCTGCTCTGTCTCCTAAGTGCAGATGTTTACACACTGAATTGGGTTAGGGTTGCCACCTATCCTGGTTTTCCTAGGATTGTCCTCTTTTTGAGGTAACTGTCCTGGGAAATCTGTAACTCTTTACAAAATATAAACCATTCTCAAGTTGTTTTTTTTTGCCATATGTGCTCAAGACGATGCGTTTACAGGTATATTTCCCCTTTACCGGTATTGTGAGATATTCTTCTTTTTGTGATATGTCCCGGTTCTTTGTACCTCAGGGGTCGCGACCCTTTACCAGGTACTCAATGAAGAGCCTTCAGTTGAGAACTGAAGGCTCGCAAGAGTGAGCTGGACTCAGGACCTAGTATGGGTTTGAAACCCAGAACCGGTTGGTTTCCAGATATAAACTAAACTATTTAGAACTAAACTTTGTTTTATTGTAGCAGGTAAGGCCCATAGAGCTGTACAGCTCTTTTTCAGAAGCAAACCTGGCCACAAATGATAGCTCAAGGAAGTGCGTTATCACGTGGAAATTTTTAGCAGCCAAATCCTCTAAACTCATGTCTCCAAATGTGGAGGGAAAAACCGGAAGACCCGGATAAATATCCACGCGACCACAGGGAAAACATGCAAACTCCAAATATACAGACATCAGGTTCAGGATCGAACCGACGGCCTCCTGTATACTAGGCAAGGTAGTTAACATCTCGCCCCCGCGATCATTCGCGACTGACATGAGCTTTGGCCAGGAATCAAGCACAGATCACTGCTGCACCCCCCCCCAGAATTAATCCGGAGAATGTCTTTTTTCACCGCGTGGGTGCAGCTGGCCTCATGGAGCTGCAGAAGGAGCCTGCAGATGGTCCGAAGTACTCGGAGAGCGACGATGCGGACGTGCCCACCCGTCTCAACGCCACCGACATCTCTCCGGGCGCGGCCATCATCCTCAACACGCTTGCGACGTACAGCTACCTGTCCAGTGAGACTCCCCTCGCCAAAGACAACATCACAAAGATCCCCCCTCCCCCGTATAGCCTTAACAGACTGTTGGGGCAAGTGCTGTTAGCGAGCGCCTATAAAGGCCGGCAGGGCATACGAGAGGGTGGGTGGCCAAGACCACGCCCGGCCGCCTTTGTCTCCCTTGTGGCGATGTTTACACACCGCACCAGGTACTCACTTGAGGCCGAGTCAACCCAAGGGAGGCCCAGGAACCGGTTTAGATACTCGTCAGCGGTGTGAGCCGTGAGCACAGCGTGCTAACGGCTAACACTGTCCAGCGTAGCGGTTCAAACAACTCCCCACGACAGTGAATTGACGAAGCGCTGATTATTAATGCATTACATTATGACATATATATATCTCTCAATGTTGCTATCTGAGCGAGCCGCGGTATCTACGATTGACCCCTTCGCTCCCCGCGTCCCGCAGAGCACGTGGAGCGGGCGGCGCTGGTGTTCGTCTCCTGCCTGTGCCTGGGGCTGGTGCTCACGCTCGCGGCGCTGGTGGTGCGCGTGCACTGCCGCCACGACATGCGCTCTGTTAAGGGCGGCGCGCGCGCCCGCGCCTCCCGCTCCGATGGGGCCTCCGACGACAGCGACTCGGACTCGGACTCGGAGTCCGACTCGGATTCGGACGGCGGTGGCGGCGGCGGGATCGGCGGTTCGACGTCGGGCTCGCACCGCTTTGCGCGGCGCTTCGACGTCACGCACAATGTGTTCACGTCGGCCGAGGAGATCGAGATGGCGCACCGCATCGAGGAGCGTGAGCGCATCCTTAACGAGATCTGGCGCAACGGGAGGACCAATCCCATCGCCACCACCAGCCTCAACCGCTACTATTGACCGACCCCTTGACCTTTTCTTCGCCGGGCGAAGGCAAACAGCGGCGAGGCACAGCTTTGCAAACACAACGGCGCCGGCGGCGGAAGGCCGGTGTTCCGAGTGTGACGAGCGATGGGCCGTGTCCCGCAATTTTTCGTCTTCGGAGAGTCCGGGATGGCCATTGTGTGCCTGACCTTGCGGTTGGCTGTATGGACGCACAGCACCGTGATGCATCTGCACCTGTGTGTCTTGCAGAGCAGCGAGTGAAGCAATGAAGACGACCTTGAGTTCGCATTGTCTTTGAGATTCCCGACTCATACATTGTCATGGATTGTAAGATTCCTGACTTATAAAATCATCATGGAAAACAAGAAGTTTTATTTTTATATTTTGTATTGTACACGTTTTACTTTTGTCGCGAACGCTGTGTGACCTGGTGCTGTAAATGAAACGTTATTTGCACACTTAGTGGTTTTGTAAAAAAAAAACTAAAAGAGTTTATATTTCTGTTTTATTATTACTGTTATCAGCCAAAGTGCTGGGTTTTAAATGCTGTTCTATGTTAATCGTGTGCGCCTGACTTTAAATGCAGAACTTTATCTTGAACGACGAATTAAACAAAATAAACACTTGCAACCAAAGCACGTGGTTCTGGGCATCTCACCCTGCCTGCCATCGAAAGGATCAGAGCAGCGCTTGACGCAGAAAGACCATCCTCGTCCGAGCGTACTTCTCTTACAATCCACTGCTGCATGCCCCAGGGCCTTGACAGACATTTGGCCTCGTTGCTCACTCACGACTGTTGTTTGTTCATTCTTGACGGTTTTTTGCTTAAACTCTAATTACCCTATATTTTTACTACCGATGGGAAGAAAGGGGGCAAAGAAAACAAAAGTGACCCCGGAAATGAAATAAATAATAAACAATTATCCAGGGCAAACCGCAGCTGTGGAAACGCGGCTTAGCACTCCGGCTAGGCCTGACCTCGAGTTAGAGGGGCCAAAGGGCAACTGCGCGATTTGAGCGCGCCGTTGCTTGATTACGTGTAATTGAGTTTTATCGCTTGAGCCAAGTGGCTTTGCGCGGCTGTGCAGCGGCTTGGCGCGAGAAACAATTGCTGTGGGCCCTCGCAGGGGCTCGGTATTTCGCTTGTTGCTGCCCCATGTGTGTCAATTTTTTTATCACTGTTGGTCCACTAGCGCTGCACAAAGTGTCACAAATGCCGCACACCAGCGCCGGCGATGTTTTTGACCCTTGGTGATCTAATACAAGGCTCTTGTGCATTATCGGCGAGGTATGGTTAAGTCACGTGCCGTGCAAGGCATGATAGGCGGAATGATCCTGCTGTCACAATCGTGCATCTTGCCTTCTAGGAATTATCTTTTTGCGTGCATTATTATAACTCTTATTCGTTTCCAGCCTGCACTAAATTTTACTGTCCGATGAGTTTATCATCATTTACAGAAAGTGATGGAATTGGTGCGATGTTGATGCCATCTGCAGATTTTTTTTATATTGGTGGCAATGACGCAATGTGGCAATGTTAACGCATGTCACCCATCATCGTAAGTAAAACGATTTCGTGCTTGGATTCTCTTACTGAATCCCGTGGCAGTTCTTGATTTACGACGCAAATACCAGCCAGCCTTTCCCACGGCTAGGTGATGTAGCCCGTGCCTCAGCGACGTGGGAAAAATGACCTGAAAATGTCCCTTAGAAAACAATAAACACTATTGTAGGACCTTCACTTTTGGTGTACGTACAGAAACGTAGAACATGCATCACCATTACATGTGCACTTGGTCATTTGGCAGCTAATTTGGGCACCTTTAAAAATACAAAAAAAGAGGTGTTCTTGAAAATGCCTTGGGACTTAGGGCACCTAAGAATCCCCATGACCTTTGCCCTGTGAGTCTTTTGGCAAGGGATCACAACTGTTCCCCTAAATCATTTGAACAACTTGCCTAATGGTTTTCACATGCCGATGAGAACTTACTGGTGTTCTCTATCAACCGAAATGTCTCGATTCATGTTTTTTTTCTGCCAAAATCCAGTGTGAGGGAAATAATTATTTTTTATATATATTCAGGGACAGAAAGCAGCCCTCTTTTACGGTGAAATGTTATATATATATTTTTTGTTCCGTCGTGTATATATATTTATTTTATAGAGTACTCGCTTGACAAAACTCTGCAGCATTGTCCGTAAGTGCATCGCATACCGAACTTCATATTGCTCTTAGAACGTGATGCAAAAGGAAAAGGTCATAGATGTTTTATATCGTACATTTTATGCCTGGCTGCTCAGGGAGTGTTTTTGAAAATTGAATAGAAAGAAAAAAACCACAGTGTAATTACATTTTCGCTTTGCAGGTATTCCTAAAGGCGGCTCAACAACTCATGCATTAAACTGCCCATGTCGCGTCGAAATTATATGCACTCGTGATGAGTAGACATGGGATGATGCATCAGGTCATCGCGTCACGTCGATTCTCATGCTCAGGATAACATCGAACTCTTGTGTGGAAGAATCTTTATTTTCTATTCGTAAATGTTGTATGTAATTGGTTAATGTAATCAACTCTGTAGTCATGAGATGCTCTAAATCCATGACAATTGTATAAAAAATATATATAGAATTTTATCGAATTGCGACCACCGAATCAAGACACATCATCAAATCGCGAGGTGATCGAGGGTACCAATTGTTACACGACTTTGATTAGCATACATTCGTTTAAAATTTCGCAGAGGCACATGAATGGTCATTGGTACCAGAACAGGCTTGACCCTACATGCGTCTCTGTCTGCCTTGTCCGAAAGAGTTCCCCCAGCACTTGCGCCTAAATCTAATCCCCTGCTGGATTATGGTCTTGTAACCAGTTGCATTATATTCCTTTAAGGATATTTCCCCTCGGTTCACACTGTCACTTAAGATATTAATGTCACTTAAGATAGTGTGTACAACGGACCCGCTGAACTTGAACATCTGCATGAAGCACCTCCACCTCAGTGCACCCGTCATGCAGGGCATGGTGGTGCAAACGTTTAAGAGTCCACCAACGTACAGACATGAAAAAAATGAAGAAAAAAATAACAGAGCATGAATGGCTCGGAACATTGGCTGCAAGAATATCATCGTGTAGTGACCTAGGCCTAAATTTTTTGAGCTCATGCAGTGATGCCTGCAATTCCACAATGCGGTACTGGCAATTATGTCTCATCACTGCCAAGCATTCCGTGCACAGAGAGGGCACTTAGTGCATGCGAGCGAACCCGCGGCAAACTCCAATTTCCACTCGCCGCGTGGGCAGATTGCCTACGCCGACAAAGCTCATTCAAGTATTTCCCCTCGCCGCATGGATGTCACAAAATCATTATTGGAAAATATACACTGTAATATCACGACCCCCGTGCAGGTTGTTAAATGAAATGATGATCATTATAACCTCCGGCTTATGAACCATCAGCGGCACTTCATCAGTCAGTAAAGATGTCCTTGGCCCAAGGTGCGTTGGCTGAATGTTGACTGGACTTTCTCCTTGGGTTGCTGACTCACTGCCGTTGTTGCATTCGTGTTTCATTTTATGGCAAGTGATGAAAAACGACAAAGTTATATTTTTATTAAGAGGGGGACGCTATTATGTTGCTGTTGTCTTGCGGGGTGTGATTGTGCATTGAATCGACGCTTGAGAGTGCATCAACATTTTTGCCATGGTACACATTAATTTGAGTTGACCGTTTTCCCCTGCTTCTTCGTAAGCATCGGTGCATTGAATTCCGTGCATGGTCAACGTTTCGTTGCATTTCCACACCGTGCACTGGTATCGCCTTGCCATAATCAGAGACTTAATTGCGAACAGCCAATTTGCCAATTCCGCATGAAAATAGATCTGTTACGGAAAGGATACTTAGCAGCGGGATAGCATGGAGAGCTGGAATTTGTGAAAGTAAATTGGACTAGCTGTGAACTAAATTGGAATTAATTAAATCTTGACTTAAAGCTTTCGTGACTGCAGGAATTCATATTCTTTGGGTCTTTCGGTAAAGTCACGTCGATAGATTAAAAGAAAATAACAAAAAAACTACGACGTTTCGATCGCAACACAAGCGGTCGTCATCAGGATAAATAATAAAATATTTTTTATTTAAGTAGATTAAAAAAACGCCACTTTTTTCAAACTTTCTTGCTGTGGTTTTCACACCTGATGATGATTGCTTGTGTTGCAGTCGAAACGTCGTGAGAATTGTATTGTTTTATATTTATATTATTTTATTGTTTTCCTTCTACGTGACTTTTCCGAAAGAACCAAGAATATGTCGTAGTATTTTGTTATTTTCTTTGAACCTTTCTACGTGACGTTACCGAAAGACCCAAAGAATATGGAATTCATTCTTTACATAATGACATGGGGGCTGTATCTGTGTGTGTTTATTACACAAGACGGTGAATGGTCTTCTCACTCCACGGCCTGGGTTTGATGATTGTGGAACCCTATTGCTATTGCACCTCAAGGCTGTGCTGTTCACTCTGCCCAGAAACATGTTCTCACCCGTAGCATCCACACAGTGAGCCATTGTACATGTGCAGCCCTCTGTCAATCCACAGTGGGAGGAGGGCTTCCCCATGCCATGCAAGTATTTCGACCAAACTTTACCACGCTTGTCGGTGTAGGTTGGTGAAGGCAGGGAGCACAGAAGTACGGTACAACATTGATTTGTTTTTCTACACTGCCCACAAACTTGCCCTGCAGAAGCCGATAACGACCTGCTGTGCAAGGTGGTCATCCATCCAAGCACTGGCCAGGCTCAACTCTTCTTAGCTTCGGAGATCTGATGAGATCAGGCACATTGTGGGTGATTTGGTCTTAGACAATGAGTTGCTATTGGTATTATACTGTATTGCAATTGTGTGCAAAGCAAGAGTTGTAAGCGTATCTTTTTTCATGACCTAAACATTTCAAAACGTTGTTTAATGTTTATAAATACGGCACATTTATGACGTGGTATGGTTTTTTTTGTCGATCATGTTTATGCATATCCTCAGCAATGGATCCCCTGCGTGCACTGACGTGAAGTTGCTTTTACAGCGGCAGTATTTGCCTCAAGAGGGCATGCAAAAGTGTTCATGCGAAATGACAAATGAAACTTTTGGCAGAGAGGTCCAGGATTCCTCTGGGCTCATGGCCGTGGTAGATGGGGTTGTCATGGCCTGGTGTTGACTTGGGCTGAGAGGTCAGGGGTTAAGGGCTGGAGGTGGGTGGGTGGCTGGGGACCGAAAGCACCGGTATCAATCACTCAGAGAGTTTAGCTGGCGCTGAAATCCCTTTCATCGATCATTGTCTGTTCTTCTAACACCGTCCATGCCTTGAACAATTTCACAATCGCCACTTCTTCACTATCCACGTTGGTATCATCTCAAGGGGGAATATATAACGACACTTGGATCTATCGATTAAAATCTATTCCTGTGCTCGAGATACGTGTATCGGTTTCGTGCGTGTGAGAATCGGTTATTTACGATTTATGAAATTTAACCTCTAAAACAAAAACTGGACAAACGAGGGTTGAGAGGGAGAATAAACAAGATTATAAATAAAAGAGACGAAAAAGACTGGATGCTTCAACGGTGACACACCGAATCGTGACGCCGAATAGTGACTTCATCAAATTTCTGCCGAGGGGGCTGGGGGGGGGAGCGGGGCTGAATCATCGCGTGCCTAACTCGCTACGTGATGACGGGGGCCGCGATACAACTTGTTTTACACGTGGCACAGAATGTGAAATGTATTACCACCGTCGTCGCAGACAAATGCTGCTTTTAAAACTAACAAATAGGGCGGAGCCCGAGCGCAGTGATTCGCTCACTGCGCTGTGAACACGGTGGCCTGAATTCAGATCCCGGGTGTAGTCATCCAACAGTGGCGATTTATATCTGAACCAGTTCCGAGCTTGGCCCCCCTTAAGCAACCTGCATTGATCAGCATAGTGAAGTATGGCCAAGCAACATCCCTAACCAACACAAACATGGGGAGGCCTTCGTCCAGCAACGAATTGACAAACGGCTGAAATGTATCGCGATTTTTAAAAATAAAACTACGCATTGTCACAAGCTAACATTTATTACGATGGCCCTTCACTGCGAAGGAAGAATAGCCATTACACTAAAAAAACATTAGTTTAAAGTATTGCACCAGGGCAGCGTTGATTAATAATGGTGTGATAAATAAATTGGCCTAACCTACGTCAGTAGTTTTATTTTCTTCTCCCCCCAAAACTTAGTGACACGAAGTGATGGCTCGAAGCTGACATTTGAGGAGGCAATTAAGTCCACTTTGCTATTTGTAGTTTCAGATGATATATCTAGGCGATTGATTTTGCAGTCAATTTCACAGAGAAAGGCAGATGTTGATCTAGAGGGCATTCATCGCACTTTGCAGACAGCTGAAGACATGTGTTATACGTCTGTATCCATTTGTAATCGAAGTGTGAACATTTATCATTTCACTTTTTTGAGACAAATATTCACCTGCACCCCCCCCCCCCCCCCCCCCCCCCCATCGTATTGGAAGCAACCTTCCAGATAATCTTACTCTCACAACTTCTCACTGATGTTACTACATTGTAGACTCGTTGTGCGGTAGCAACGTCTGTGTCCAGGTGGGCAGGTTTTTTTTTACCAAGATATATCAGTCGTTTGGATGGAGTGGTGCTGCAGTGGTTTGCACAGTGTACGATGAATCCGGCCACCTGAGTTTGAACATCAGTGGCTCGTGATATCTGAACCTGTTCCTGGACCATCCCCTTCACCAATCCACATTTGACCAAAATGGTGAAGTATGGTCAAACAATCCTCATGTCCAACATTAAACTATGAAAAACTATTTTATGTGACCAGGCATGGCACACTGAGCTCTTTTTCAGAAGCGACCTGGCCACAAATGATAGCCCAATAAAGTGGCTTATCATGTGGAAATTTATAGCAGCCAAATACTCTAAATGCATGTTTCTAAATGTGGAGGGAAAAACTGGTGGACCCGGAGAAAAATCCACGCGACCACGGAAACTCCAAATATACAGGCGTCGGGGTCGGGAAGGAACTCACAACCTCATGTATACATGACTTGGGGAGGTCTTTATACATCATGGGATTAATAAGTGGATACAAATTACTATTCAGTCATAACAATGTTATGTATGGTGGTAATCAGACGGAGAGTGAATCATGGCCAAATGACTTAGCCTTTGATGGCTTCTCACTGGTATTTCACATCAAATGTAATAGTACTGTAGATATATTTATTTTACAAGGATACTGGCTTAAAATCGTGAACATTTACAGGAATTAACGTTGGTCATATTACTAATATTCCTTTGAAATCGTTTTGCAAGCCAAAGGTCTGTTTTTTACGTATGCTTAAATCACTCCTTTTCTTTTTCATTTTAAGCCAACCAAAACAAACGTATTAAAGATGTCTGTTTAAAAAAAGTCGATTAAATTACCACGATTTTAAAAGCCCTCACTCACATTTATCTTGGCTTGTATTGCCTTATTCACCCTGTGCTCATTAAAACACAGCAGAAACATCAACTCAGCAATAATATGTATAGGGCATAATCCCCACGTATTAAAACAAACTTTAACACAATGTCCATGGATGTCTATAATTGTTTGCGAACCTAATGTCCTTGCACGCGGCGTTATTGGTTCGACAGAATTACATCACCGGCAGCCTTTAACATTCACTTAACTTTTGTCATCACCATGGTTTCCATGTATATGAATCCAACACCTTTCAGAGCTCCATGGACCCTGGGAGAGAAGATTATTCAGTGGGAAATGTCCTGCACAGACAACTTATTCAGCAGGTGGCGTTATAGCATTTTACTCTGGCGCTTCCACTGTTAAATTGCATTATTTCTTAGGTTTTTCCGACGTTGAGTTATTTTCACTGCCCCATCAAGGTACAACTGATCATACAAGTCTTGGCTCTTGCCTATTCATCGTCGTCATCATCAGCCATGGTCGATCCACTGCTGGATGAAGGCTTCCCCAATTCGCCGCCATCTGTCACGATGTAATGATCCACCTCGTACCTGCACTCGAGATGGATTCACCACTCCCTCTTGTCAGTCAGTCCATGTTCTTTCGGATATGTTCCATTCATTGGCTGCCACTTCACCATAATTATTGATGACCTGCAATCATTTATTCTACCTATGTGTCTTGCCCAATGCCACTTTTCTGAATAATTTGAATTGTCATAAAGCTGCGTATGTCTTCTAATCCATGCTTTCCTCCTTCTCCGCGTAATTCTAAGCATGGAGTGGCTTATCATGTAGGGCATTTATAGCAGCCAAATACTGGAACCATTGCTGTTCAAATGTGTTCAGAGTCGTGTTGGAAGATGGGTCGTAAACGACGTCTTAAATGTGTGTCGCAAATAAAACTGGACGTAATGTTCCCAAACTTTAAATCCCAAATTTTTACTGCCATTATAAAAATACATAAAATAAATAATTATTTGGGCTATATTCTATTGAATATTAATGTTTCACAAATATGTGCTGGGAATAAAGATGGGCTTAAAAAATACGGATAGAATACAGTAACAAACCCACACTTGCTCCAATATAGCATGATGGTGAGATGATGAGGGCATAATGCAGAAATTTATATTTTAACTCAATAGTCTCTTGTCTGCTGTGGAGAATATTACATAGTTCATTTTATTTAACCATAATTGCATCACACGGTGTGCTTAAATAATTTGCTGTTTAGCAACGGTTGAAAAAAAATAGTGGAGCATTTCATACATTTATGAGTATATATAGTGTTCGTATGCGACAATTGGCTTGAAACACTTTCGATACGGAGGGCAGTGCTGCACAGTCAGCACCAATTAGTGTAGGAAACTGCCCGTTTCAATAAAGTATGGAATTCTGGTTTTGGGTTGCAATGTGTGCTGTGTGGTTTGTGTTTGTGTATGGAGCAAGTGGCTGTCTTACCATCTGGTGGGTGGATCACAGAACAGCTGTGGTGTGACTAGTCAAGGAAAACATGACAGCCAATTGTAAGGACAGGTTGTATCAAATGTAAAAAGACTGCTGGTTGCTCACGTTAAAATAAAATCTCTGGAACAAATGGGCTTATGTGTTTTGTGGACCTAAACCATGCAACTAATCGCCAGGCCAAGTTGGGTCCCAGAGTCCGTCAACATTTTTCTGTAATTTGTTTTAATTTTCCTATTTACTAATTGTTATGCTTATTAAAAAACAATTTGTAGTCTCAAACACGTATTTCAGTACTAGTCCTTTATAAGCCGTTTTTAACCTGAACAATAATTGTCTGTATTAACAATTGTAGTCTTATGGTTTTGCTATGCCCTTTTCTCAGCTTGAAAAGGACCCTTGAAACATCTTGATGTGAAATATGCTATGTAAACTTATTTATTATATCGGTATATTTGTAGTAGAAAATAAAACAAGGCAGGCGCTGGGAGACGACTGCTGAATACTTCTAGGATGTTCTTGAAGCCAAGTGATCGCTGGCAACAATGATGATGTACAGTTTTGGCGTGAAAGCCAGACTGCTTTGAGACACACATCAGGGAATCAGAGTTGAGTTGTTATGGATGCAATTAATACATCCTGAAAAGGTTGGACTGGCCCTCATTAAGTAGTTTTTTTAACGCATGAAAACCTCCCCGATGCAAATTAATATTTTTATATGGGGTCTGTTTGGAATATTTGGCTAAATTATCCTCTTGAGTATTTTTTTACCTGTGCGATTATGCAAAGCGATGAGCATTGCAAAGGCAATGTATATATTAATCATGCAAGTTTGTTTGCATGTTTTGCCACAAGTACGTGTGGTTAATGCAAATGTCTTTCAAAAGGTATCGATTTGGTGTTTGAACATCTTAATACCTGTTTTATTACCAGAAAGGGTTAAACCTATTCTTAAATGTTCATCATTTTAATATTGGCAAAATGGCCCCATAGATACAGGCACTTGGATATCACGTTAAGCTTCATGTAGAAGAAGTGCTAATTTCGCAAGGATTTTTATTATTTTTAGTCTGTGGTCACCCAGAACAGACCATGGAACAGACCATGGAGGCATCATCACCGCGATACACTCCGCTGCTTCTGACGCAATTACAGGACGCCTAGAGGTAAAAGTATAGCGGTTGCTTTACTTTAGCGTTCTTCATTGCAAGGCCCGCAGGCCACTGGCAGCCCCTGGTGGCCTTTAGTGCGGCCCCTGGCATGCGGCCCTTGAGAATACACAGCACGTGGCAACACCCCCCCCCCCCATCACCATCATCATCGTGCTGCTGTCAAACCCACAATGGTTTCAAACGTGTGGCGGCCCTCACTCACACTGATGATGTCTTTTCGGCGAAAGTGCCCCCCCTCCTCCTCCTCTGAAAATGAGTGAAGCACACTGTTCTGCCTCAACATCAGCCACAGCAAGCAGGAGACGTCTTAGACCAGTCGACGACGGCGACCTCATTACATTAACTTTGTCCAGTGTAGTCAGAAATTAAACTAAACAACCAAGGCCGTAGCTAGCCATGGAGTCAACATTGGGGGGGACCAAATCTTCCAGGGGGTCTGGGGTTCCTCCCCCCCCCCCAAAAAAAAATATATAAATTTGATAACGAATTTCCTGCCTAAAATATTTAAAAAAATCACTAACACATAAGATGGACTTTATATTAATTTACTACAATAATGTCTAATAGTGTATTGTATTACATTGCTCTGTTTTTTCTTTTTTACCTTTTCTTGTTTCATTGTATGTAATGGCAGAGATTAGGAATTAATAAAGTACAGCCATAGCCACAATCATATAAACAGAAATCTATATTATAGCAATATATTGGGGAGAACATTTTGAGCATATTTGAATATATATTATAATTACGGCCTTGTAAACAACTACAAAAAAAATACCAAATTGAACACTGTGCCCAGTGGTAATTTAGTCAACAATAGCAGCATGAAATCCACAGCCTAAGTGCTTGACGATAATTCCACAGGCCGTCGTCGACGAAGACGAAACGGAGTTAGCAAAATGCTCGCTATATATTAACGATGCACGGAAGCGTCTGGATGCATGTAAATATGAATTGATGAACACCTATGAATGAATGGGCTCAGTGCCACCATCCTCCAGATGCCAACGTTGTTGGACATTGCCTTGAACGGAGTCCCTCTGGCGGTGGCGGAAGATTATGTTTCTGAACGTCTGCGCGAGGCTTCCCATTACTAAAAGGGTTTTTTGCACATTCACGGTAAACTCTCTTCCGTCTCTGCTGGAATATATATTGCTTGCACCCTTGCACGGTTTTAACATTACGGAGAGGTGGAACACACCACCGACCCCCGTTCACGTTTGTCTTATGAATGGGCGACTAAGGGACGGAAGATTATCTTCTTGGAAGACGTTTCAAGAAGGTCTCGGCTAAGAAGAGAGAGAGAACCCCGTTGCTAGACGCGCCTAGGCCTCAGCGGTCTTACCCACCCTCGGCTAGATTCGTCTGCCGGCTCGGAGCGACCTCGCCCCCGGCCGCACCGGGGTGACTCGCTCGCCCCCTCTCGACGGACGTGCAACTACCCGGGAGCTTGTTGCCTTTCGAAGTCGAAGCAAAGCCGCTGGTGTTTTATATATATATATTTTAATACTGTATATTCTGTGTATTTAACTTATCCGGGGTGGCTCTGTGCGCCCTATCCATCACTTCGGAGGCGGAGGGGTTGCTGGATCACGCAAAGATTCTGAGGCAGCCGCTGGGCTGCGAAGTCACCAGGTCGGTGGCAGTTCAAGAACTCATCTGTAGGGTGGGTGAGGACTTGTGTTGTTGTATTCACGTTTACTTTATACCTACGGATGTTTATATCTCCCGCAGAAAAAAAAAGTTTCACTGTCGAGGTAATTGACCAAACATACCGGGAACGCAGGGATATGGTGGCAAAGAAAAAAAGCATTAAGAGTTAAGGAATCCGTTCTGAGTAAAATAATCGGTGGGGGGTTTGTTGTTGCTGCTGCTGCTGCTGTATTTGCTCTCATCCGCGGACTCTCAACAGTCGCCGAAGAAGTCCGCCCAGGCCGCTTGCCTCCGCCCAGCGATGTCAGCCGAGAAGTCGCTCCCCGTCTTCAAGAACCCCGCCGCTCTCGCTGGGACTCGGCTGCCTCCGTCCGTGGGGGGCAGCGCCCCCCTCCTGGCCGTGTTCCCTGCCCCCGCGTCCCAGCAGCGCGTGTCGGAGTCGGGCTTAGCGGGCACCCCCAGGAACAAGGTTAGACCCCCCCCCCCCACCGAGACCCCCCCCCCCCTACGAACCCCCCCGAGAACCCCCCTCGAGACCCCCCCCCCCCCCACCGAGACCCCCCCCCCACCGAGGACCCCCCACCGAGACCCCCCCACGAACCCCCCCCAAAACCCCCCACGAGAAACCCCTCGAGACCCCCCCCCCCCCGAGACCCCCCCCAAAACGCCCCCACGAGAACCCCCCCAGACCCGCCTCGAGACCCCCTCACGAGACCCCCCCCCTCGAGAAACCCCCCCCCGAGACCCCCCCACAAGAACCCCCCCCAGACCCCCCTCGAGACCCCCCCACGAGACCCCCCCCCGAGACCCCCCCGAGACCCCCCCGAACCCCCCCTCGAGACCCCCCCTCGAGACCCCCCCGAGACCCCCCTCCCCCAAGAACCCCCCCCCCCCCCCGAGACCCAGCAGGACATGTGTGTAAAGAAATTGCTTTGTAGCTCATGGGATTCCGCCTGTACAGGCAGTCCTCTACTTACGATGTACAGGCAGTCCTCTACTTACGATGGAGATGCGTTGCGACGACCCCATCGTAAGTCAAAAATATCGTAAGTCGAAGATGGCCTTAGCCTACCCCGGAGTCTTAAAGAATGGTGATAATTTAGCAAAACAGAGCAATTTACAGTACCGTACTGTACTGTATAAACTATATACTGTATGTATGTATTAATTACAATACTGTATTGCACAGTCAAATGTAAAGTAAAAAAAACAAGGTAAATTCTTAGCCTACCTATATGAACTGCAATTTAATAGAAAGTTTTTTTCAGGAAACAATCCTATCTGCTATAAAAAAAAACTTTTAACATGCATTGAGCGTACCGTATCGTGGTAACCCTTAAAATTAAATCGCTAAAGCTACGTATCATACATGCATTGAACGTATCGTAACGTATCATATTGTAACTGTACTCGCCAAGATTATGTCTGTCGTGTCGCTATCGCCATCGTAAGATCGAAGTAACGTAAGTCGGGCCATCGTAAGTCGGGGACTATCTGTACAAATACAATATTCTGCTTCTGAACTCACTCACTCCATGAGGTGTTGATGCAAGAGACGGTAAAGAATTAACTTAGAGTTGGGGCCACTTTTGAGTTAAAAATACGCCGATTGGGGAGAGAAAAATCTTGCCTAAATTGTCTGAAAACGAATACCGTACACCCGATTGTAATTAACCTATTTAAGTCAATCACATGGAGCTTAGATTTAAACCACCAGAAATGTTGAGATACTTTTTTTCATTAAATTGGTTTAAATAGCTGCGCTAAATCAGTGTGTCATGTAAAACGGGTGCCGCGATCATCCGTAATGTTCCGAATCTCTTCAGATCTCGGAAGCTAAGCTGAGGCTGAGCCTGGATTGTGTTTGGACGTGTGACCATCAGGCACAAACATATTACCATAGCGATGGAAAAATAATAGGCTTTACCCTTTCCGGCAATAATACAGGTGTTAAGATGCCATGGCACTGGTTGGAGAATTACCACAAAAGCCCACCCACACTGACCAGCTTGGTAAAGTATGGTACAAAAAAAATAACCCCCACGACCCTTATAACAGCATTGGGACGCCCTCCAGAGGCCTGCCCAACACAACCCAGCATTAACCTACAGTCTTAACCCTGAGCTGAACTTAGCGTGAACTCCAGCCTTAATCCGGAGACCCTCTTCAATCTAAACACCGGTAATCAAAGTCTCAACACGGAAGTCCAAATTAGTAGTGACCCCAGGCATAAACTTCGTTCAAGACTACCGATGGGTATGAAAAGCTCCCAATACTCTTTAAGGATGGAGACATCTTAACTTTATAACAAAAATTGGGATGAAATTCAATATTTTTGGTAATTATACATATCTTAAATCTTAGATTATGCATTGCAGAAAATAATGCATGAGTTTTATGCCTCAAGAATTATAAGAAAATGTTTTAAAACCAAAGCCAGGTAATGCCAGAATGCTCTAAGTATATTCATATATTGACATTTTAAATGGGTTAAAATGTTTTAGAGTGATGTTGTTATGTAATACAATAAAAGGTGGCTGGGTGGCTCTGAGGTCAGTGTTGACCCGGTACCGCTGAAATCATGCTTTTGAATCTGGGTAGCCACCCATGATTGTTGAGCGTACTTCACCACATTGGTAAATGTGAGTTGGTGAAGGAGGAAGGGAAGGACTGGAATAGACATTACTCGCTACTGATGTTATCCATGGCTGCTAACCGTACTAACAGGTTCACAGCACAGTGCGTTAACCTGTGCGCCACTGCTCACCACTACTATACAACAATGACTCCAATGAAACCACGGCCTTCACGAGAGGCAATCAATCCCCGGACGCAACGTCCCTCAAGCGGGGTACCCTAACGTGCGGTGGTGCTATCGCCATTGGCTTTTGTGCGCAGGTGTCGCTGAAGCCAGGCCGCTCGCTCATGGACTGGGTGCGCCTCGCCAAAAGCGGGCGTGACATGACGGGACTGCGCGGCCGCCTGCTGCACGTCACCGAGGCGGAGCTTGCACGCCACAACCTCCGCGACGACTGCTGGACCTGCATCAGGGGTGCGTCTCGTGGCGCCGTACCACGCCGCTTCGCTCCGTTTGTGCCGAGCGTGCACGTCATTGGGACTCGGTCGAAAGGAAGTAGCAAACCAACGGGGTTTAAAAACTATAATGCGCCACGCATGGATCGTGTAAGACTTTCCAATAAGTTTTTTGTCTTTTGAAGTGTTAATTAGTACGGGAGCCGATGGATGACCACGAGGGTAAAAGGCTTTTGGATATTTGGAGTTTGTCCTTTTTGCGGTGGTTTGTCTGCATGTTTCGGGCAACGCTTTGATCAATTTTGCCGATTTTTCAAGACGCCACATTCCCAATAGCAACACGGATTTCATATGACAGCCATGTTCATATTGGGTCATCTTTAAGAGCGTTATAATGCCCCCCTGTTATGGATGGATGGCGCAAAATCATTCACTCATTCAACCTTGGTTGTTTGTTAGCTTTGTGTGTTCTGAGCTGTTTAAAGTTTGAAGCCCAAGGTTAAAGCTTGGTAAATGCGAAGCAAGACTTCATGGTTAAGGTCACGAGCATTGTTATGGCACCTTAGAGACTTCATGGAAACATCATTTCATTGTCACTCCCATACATTTTATAAAATCGTAATTTTTTTTACCGGTGTCACGATCACCATGAGCGTTTTATTGAAAAAGGTGACGGCTGAACGAGCTTCACTGTCTCATTTGCAAGAGAGACTCAGATCATGTCACGAATTGCATTTAACAAGCAGTGTTGTGTGGAAATGACTCTGCTATGTAGTTAAAGAGCCTGTCAAAACATCATCGATCAGATCGAGTAAATGTATTGTTTTATTAGAGTAAAGGTGACAGCACATTCAGACATATTTCCTCTTTTGCAAGACCCAGGCAAAGGAGGTCTCATGATGTAACTGCTCACCCCGAAATCTCAATGTCCTGATAGTGACATTGTCTTTGTGCTGTTCGCCTTTTGGCGTCCTCTGGTCTAACACTGTGATACTAGGCTCTAAAGAAAGCTGTCTCTGGTGTGGACCAATCAGTTTTAAAGACAATGCATATACTGTCAGATCATGTCTTTTTGTTTGCATGTTCACCACAAATATATGTGGTTAATGCAGACATGATTCCTTGCATAGGTTTCAGTCTGGTGTTTTAACATCTGAACACCCTATTAGCATAATCCTAGTTTGTTGAATTTCTGCAAGAATTAGCAATGCAAGTAGATGACTCTGGCTTGTTGTTAGTTTACTCAAAGGTAATATGCTTATATATGTTTATATTATTATGCTGCCATGGTGTAATGGTTAGCACACCAGACTATGTGGCCCAGAGGCCACTGGTTTGACATTCTGCCACGCAGTTGAAACAAGAGGAAAATGTATTGAATCCCTCATCCTCTGCTCACCCAGCAGTGTAAACGAGGGGACCACAGTCCCATCGGCAGGTCGCGTGCGGTGGAGAAGACTGTGGGTACTCCCACCTCTTCAAAGATGTTTGACCATCATGCAAAAGGAGGCCAAAACACCCTCTATAGGGTTTTTCTAGAGCTCTTTCTGTAGAGGCCCTTCTGCCAGAAGTTGCATGAGCCAAACAATTTCATGATTTCACCTTTATCTACTTGATAAGCAGTGTCCATGGACAATGAAATGGTAATACGTGGTTCACCTTTGTTCGTACAGGTTTTCTGCTTCTGTCTGGCAATGTCCACATCTGCAATTCATGGTGTTCCACGCTATGCGGATTACTCGTATTGGTCACGCCTGACGAGGACGCGATGGGAAATCTGGACTGCATGATCTCTTGTCCGCATCATGCGGATTAGGCTGAGCCCTGATGATGGTGCCTAATGCTCCTAAAACCCATTCCCACAACCATGCCTACGCATTCACCTCACCTGCCCCCTTCCCATTGTACCTCCCATCCATGGTCCAAATCACCAAGCATTGACGCATGTTTACATTGAGTGTAATTTTTTTGGGCTTTTTGCACTTAAGAGTGTATGTATGGTAATTTGTAAGAATGAATTATATAATTTAATGTATTTGCCCGCATCTGTTTAACACCCAAGGGACATCAGGAGGGTCCTTCATGCACTGGGATGTTTGGCCAGGTCCTTTTTTGACATATGTGTTTTGTGTGTACATAAAGTGCATATGTCCGCACGGGCAGGTTCACGAATCCACTTCATGTACAGCCATCTCCTGGCCACTTCACAGTCGAGCAGGTTGGCTGTGTAAAAACATCTGTGTGATCCACCAAACCTTGGCTTCCAAAACAGTCGATAAAAGATGTGTGCAGCTACTGCGCTTTGCATTGTAATGCGGACATCCTAATTACAATTAGGAAATTGTTATACAGCTAATTTATACATAGCCTGGCTAATATTTGCTAAAAGTGTGTCAAGCAAGGGGAGTACATGAGTCAGTGATTGCATGTGTGCATTAAGGAGTGCGTACCACTGTTCGTACCATGGTCTCGTTATGCCCTCTACCAGTCCGTTCTCTTGGAGCAGCCTGGGGTGTGTTGCGTTCTTCCGCGATGACCTCTGCGTACAGCCTCGTCTGGAGTCTCGGTGACTGCAGCAGACGCTGACGGCATAGATGAAGTTGACCGCGAGGTCTTCACCGGATTGCTGAAGGGTCTCCTGCCTAATCCGACGTTGCCAGTTGCAATCTTTAGGGTTTCACGGTGTCAATGGCAAGCTTTAGGGATTCACGGGAAGGGGGTGGATTTGTCGCTGCTGTGCGACGTGCCCGGCGAGTGCGAGCCGTCGATGTCTGAGCCACGCTTAAGTGTCCTCAAGCCCCGTACTGTCGTGCTTTGACATCTGTGTTGCTGACAAAGTCATATCACATCGCCAGCATAGTGTGCTAATGAAATCGGGCAGGTGAACTTAGTGCTCCAGGCCTGATATTTCTTCATGGCCAGTGACGGGACTGCGCGGTCTAACTTGTCATTTTAAAGGCATTAAAATTATTCCACATACCTCTGTTTAAATTGAAGAGCTTTGGCAGGATTAAAGAATGTATGCAGGCTAGAGACGTCATATTGATTGTTGGGAAAGGTAAGTGGGCTTGGGCAGGACACGTTTCTATGTGGAATAAAAGATAACAACATGAGTTACAACCAACAGAAGTAACGTGTCGAAGATGTCTATTGCAGAGATTGAGCGATGAAATCAGATGGTGGTGCGCAGGTTTTAATTGGATTGTTGCACCACAGGGGTATGAGGGATGGTGATGGTTTGGAAGTCCTTCCATATCATGAAATCAAATCATAAGTACCATTGTAATTGTGCTATTCTTATCATGCAATACTATCAAGAAGGCAGTATGTTTTGCAGACGAGTACATTCTTCAGTAGTTTCACAGTAGGCCACGATGTTGCTACGTAGTTTTACCAAATTAGGTAATTTGCGAGTAACCTTGAAATTTGGCAAAATCTGGCCCGTGATGGCAGCACACGTGGCCAACTATTTTTTTATCACGTGACGTGATTTTTATTGATCAATCTGAGGCAGACGATGCGTAGTGTTTGATGAATACACCTGCAGCATTAACCAGGGTGGCCGCCAGCCTTGAACCGGGATCCTCTGCAACAAGCGGCAAACACATGACCGCTCGGCCGTGCCCCAGGAGGGGATTGATGGTGGCTGATAATAATAAAGATGATAATAATAATGAAGAGCATGTGCCGTTCCTGCTGCTGTTGCTGCTGCTTGTAGGCCTGGTGTACAATGTGACGGCATACATGGAGTACCACCCCGGAGGGGAGGAAGAGCTCATGAAGGCGGCCGGCGTGGATGGCACGGAACTCTTTGAACAGGTTCCGCTTGCTCCACACTCTTCATTTTCCCTCGTTATTCACGAACTTGCTGTCCCCGAATTTGACTATGCGCGAATCGCATCTGGGACTCTACATGACTGCATCAAGAGAGAGACAGAGATAAAGAAAGTGATTAAATAAAGTGACGAGAGATAAAGTGATGAGAGAGAATGTGATGCGAGAAAGTGATGACATAAAGTGATGAGAAATATAATTTTCATGTATTTAATGGTTTGTGTATTTATTTTAGGTAATTCATTCTAAAGATTTGATATTCACGGGCATCTATGGAATGTATCCCACGCGAATAACAAGGGCATACTGTACACACCTGCCCATTGCTATGGGCGACACAATGGCACTTCATATATTTACCGCATTTAAAAGGGAACCGATACACTACAATGACCCAAGTCACATGCAATTGTGGTGCAATCTCATTAGATGTTGGAAGCTAAGGAAGGCTGAGCATAGAGAGTGCTTGGATGGGCGATTGCCACGCAAGGCATGTTGTTACATGCTGCTGTGCGACTAAGTGGTGGGCAGCATAACGGAGTGCATCAAAATCTATTACTGGCATGGACATCCTGTGCCATTTAAAGCTATGAAGAGAGACATTTTTTTATTTTGCGAAACGGAACATTTCAGCATGCATTTCAGGCTGGACCTTTGTGTACGGCACGCGCCAACAATCCAATGTTCACACTTCCGAAGTTTTACCCGTTTTTTTTTGTAAGATCTATTATTGTCACATTTTACGTTGACATTTCAATGCGAAATATGATCAATGGTAAAAGCAGTGTCCTTTAACACCCAACAACATAATTGTAAGCGATTTTGTTTTAAAATAGTTCGTGATGTTATTTATTAAAGTTTTGGCATTTCGCGTAATAATTCTGAAGACAGTAAGTGACTCTGACGTCCTGCTAATAATTCCTGAGACTGCAATTGATAGTGAAGTGCTATTTAATAAATCTGGTATTTTAAGAAATATTGAAGTTGCAGTTAATGATTCTGTGAGCAGTAATTTGTGGCGGCAGTGGTCGCGGGATTATAATTGATAGTGGCATGTTCATGTATGAGTGTAGGCGTACGTGATGAGCGATAGTATAGTGGTTAGTGCAGTACGCTGCAAATCCGGAGACCCCAGTTCAATTCCCGCTCGCGTCGAACACCTGTAACGAATATCTGAACCGGTCCTGAGCCTTCCCATGGTCAACTCAGCCTGAAATTAATACATTGTGTGATGTGTATACATCAGCCGGGCATGGTGCTGGCCACCCACCCCCTTGTGTACCGTGTCGGTCTTATTCTGTGCTCACTCAACACACTTGCCCCAACAGTCTGTTAAAGGCTACTCGGGGTGGTGGGGGACGGGCGGCGGAGGGGTCTTTGTTGTGTTGCTGCATAGTGGGGCCTTATTGTTTTTGTCTTCACGCGACTTGGCTCTCTTAGGTTCATCGCTGGGTGAATTTTGAGTCAATGCTCAAGGAGTGCCTGGTTGGGCGAATGGCCATCTCCTTGCCAATCCCAAAGGGTAATGCGACACATGGGCCACACGCAGCGCTGCTCCGCCACAAAGCCATGAGTTTGCAAACACACGACACTAGCCACTTTGGTTTTAGGCAAAAGACAAAGGCCAGGGTAACTCGAGACACTGAAATGTTTAGTTTTTGCTTTGCTCTCCATAGTTAAGGGTCCTGATTGTTATCTCGGTCTTCATTTCCTGCCTTCTCTTGCTGTTATCTGCAATACATTTTCAACAAACACATGCACACCTATGTTAATACTCAATGCACGTGTGACCCAAACATAACTTTTACATGTGCAGCCCTTTTGACAATCTACTGCTAGAGGAGGCGTCTCCCCATGCTGTGCAGATCGTGGGAGACCATCGATCATACTTCACCGTGCTAGTCAGTGTGGGCTGCTGAACGTGTGGAGCATAGATGCTGAGGTCAATGACATAGCTCCACAGCAACCCGTTATGCATGGTGCATGGTAATCAGCCATCCAAGCTCTATACAGGCTACATTCGTATCTGCTTGACTTGGAAGATCTGATGAGACCGGGTGCATTCTGGGTGATTTTGTCATATGCGAACAAAAACGTCAAGCTTAACATCGTGCCAGTATCACTGCGGCAGGGGCTAGAGCCAAGCGCAGTTTTTGGTTCATCAGAAAATGTACAAGCGTCCAATTTAAAACACTTGTAATTTTATTCTTACTGAAATTGAATGTTAATGTAGTCTAGGAAAACACCAGAGTTGTAGAGTTTATTGAAGCGGTTTATTGAAACATGCGGTTTAGACAGGCTTCTATTGAACTCTAATCCGTAGTGTGTTTGTGCTGGTGTCAACGTCCTTTCATACCCTCTGTGTGTACCTGAATTGTCTTGTTAAATAAAATACTTGAGATTTTTTCTTTTTTATACAGTCTAAATGCACTGTGAATGAACCGCAGTTTATCATGTAAATTCAATATAGTGAACAGAACATGTTGTACACAATATAAATGATAACCTTCACTATTGTGGGAATAGTTGATTCCAGACCATGGATAATATCAGCAGTTAATGAGATCTGAACTGAGTCTGGGCTTCCCCCTTCACCAACCTGCACTGACTGGGATGGTGAAGTAATCAAACAATCCCCATGACTGAAACATTGAGGAGGCAGTGGATTGAGAGTGTGATGTATAAGATCTTCATTATTGAGAGCCCTTTGACAGTTTCGTTTATGTTTTAAGGGCGACCTGAATATAAGTAATTATAGGAAAACAGCAAATACATTCTGACCAGTAAAGAAAACAATGCAGAAATTGTCATAGATGTCATTTTATATGTGTACATGGGAAGGGCATTGTGTACGAAAATAAATTTTGACATTCATGAACGACTCTACTGACTGATGGACATTTTGATACAAAAATACTTGAACGTTGTCTTACGTGTCGTTACGTAGATGTGAAGAAGCAAAAAGATCACATTGTGTGCGACATTGTAAAAGGAGGTAAGCCAATTACGTTTCCACTGTAATTAAAATGTACTGCACATGAAACGTCTCTTTAATTGTAAGTGTGGACATTTATGTCACATACCGAATTAAACACTTTGCCAATATCTATTGCTCCAAGAGACAGCGTGAATATTTAACAATGGCAAACCATCGCTGGGTGAGTTATAATTCCGTTTATGAAACGTTTGCGTGGATTGCGCAAGCCAACTGCGCTAACTTAAAGCGGTTTCATCGCTCAATTTTTATATACTTAACCTGCAGTTATTGTTTGATTTTAAGTATTTACATTCCTTACCCGCACATTCCGTGGAACACTGTGGGGTAAATCAATCACTCCTCTAAAGGTGCACACAGAAATATGCCTTTGTCTGGCGGTGACAGAAATAATGAAGAACGCACAAAATAAGTGAGAGCCAGTGCTGTGGAACATGCAAGCAACACTGGCATTATTTATTTGGAAATGTCAGCAGTGGGGTGCAGGAAATTACATTTGCGCAAGACAACCCTTGGGGCAGGATTTTTTGCGATCATTTCCATATCTTAAACAGAAATTAAGTTTTAAAAAACTACTTGGAAAATGACAATTCCTCGTTATCATCATAACGATTTATTGCTCATGCTGCAGCATGTTTCACAAATGTTAAAACGTGTCTCGAAGGACCAGCAGATTGCATCAAGGTCCAAGCCAATGTCCTGAACTGTGGATCAATTTATGACATTCGGTCCTGTGAGTATACATGTTATTAAAATGGTAATGAAATTATCGCAGACAATATCCACGAATTGAGTAAATCCCTTCGTTACCCGAGTCGACTAACTGATGCACCAACAAACAAGTGATTGTGACACTTCCAAACCTATTTTATTTGTTTTGCTTTTGCCAATACAGTAATGTAATAACTGTAATAACTTTTTTGCAATAAAAACACACAATCAACTGAGATCACATTCACACGACGAGAATTGTGGATGTAGGAGTGACGGTGGAAGCGGTTTAAACACCGCGGTTTCCGGTTTACCACCCATTTGCTTTGTGCACAGATAACAACGTGGAGGCACAGGGGAGCGAGGCCTTAACCCCGCTCATCCTTGCTGTCCCACAGACGCCCACACCGAGGTGAGTGTTCCTCACTCACCATATTTTCGAAGCAAACTACGGGACATGTCATGATTTTAAACTTGGCCCCCTGTGACGAATTGTCATGAATCGGGGTTGCAGTTTCATTTAGGAATCGATTCTTGCGGTGGCCTGGTGGCTTAGAGGTCCGAGTGCTGTCCTGGCACCTCTGAGATTCCAGGTTGGAATCCAGCTAGCTAGTGTAATTAAACTTGGCCATCAAGTGCAGTAAGTTCATGGTACTCCATTTGCTCACCATTGAATGCACAAAAAAACAAATTACATTAAATTTGCTTCTGGACTTCATTTGGCTAAATACTCCATTTGCTCACCATTGAATGCACAAAAAAAAACAAATTACATTAAATTTGCTTCTGGACTTCATTTGGCTAAATACTCCATTTGCTCACCATTGAATGCACAAAAAAACCAAATTACATTAAATTTGCTTCTGGACTTCATTTGGCTAAATACTCCATTTGCTCACCATTGAATGCACAAAAAAACAAATTACATTAAATTTGCTTCTGGACTTCATTTGGCTAAATACTCCATTTGCTCACCATTGAATGCACAAAAAAACAAATTACATTAAATTTGCTTCTGGACTTCATTTGGCTAAATACCAGATTTTTAATATTGACTTGAATGTCATGCGATGGGCAGTGGCAGAGTGTTGATTTGAAGCTTTCGTGACTGCAGGAATCCATACTCTCTGTTTTTTTCGGTAAAGTCACGTAGATAGAAAAAATATTAAAATATAATAAAACACGACGTTTTCGGTCGCAACACAAAGAGTCCGTCTTCAGGTGAGAAAAGGTTTTTATGAAGACGAACGCTTGCGTTGGGACTGAAAACGTCGTGTTTTCTTTTATTATTATTTCTATCTACTTGACTTTACCGAAAGAAGCAGAGAGTAATGACAGAGTGCTTCATACTAATGTTTTGCTGCACAAAACTGTAGAACAGGGGTCACTTGAAGGTGTCTTAAAAGTAGCTCTGTGATATCCACTTCCATGGACTGTTCTCAAACATGAATGGTTGCACTTGTGCACAAGAGATCCAAATGGATACTTCACCTTAGTACATGATGCAAATAATACAATCAGCATAAAATTCGAGAAAAACTTGAAACAAAAATGTTTGTCATTGGAAACCTCATTTGCCAGTAACAAAATATGATAATTGGTTTTTTACCTTTTTATCTGGCAACAAAACTGACACCTTTTTTCACAAGGAGTCATGTTTACATTGACCACAATACCTGCGGTCGGAACGCAAACAAAAAACAACAACGCCAAAGGCGTCTTCTGGTCCAACACCATGTGAGACGAGGCTCTAAAGAAAGCTGTCTCGGGTGTGGACCAATCAATTTCAAGGACAGTGCCACATACGTTATCATAGTTGTTGTTTTTTGTTTGCGTTCCGACCGCAGGTATTGTGGTCAATGTAAACATGACTCCTTGTAAAAAAAAGGTGTCAGTTTTGTTGCCAGATAAAAGGGTAAAAAAACAATTATCAAAAATATTCGTCTTATTTTTACTGTCTCTTTTGTATACTATAGGATGAATGAGCATGAATCTTAACTTTTCACATGACGTTTTTTAATAGGCTTTTATCTCGTGCGTGAATTTATGCATGCGCTATGCGCGTTTACACGTATTTTAGAATTGGTGAATTGTTACAGGCCTAGTGGCCCTTCCCCTCACTCTTCAACGTTCACACAAGGCAAATGCCCCCACAGCCTCCCTGTGCTCAGTCAACCATGAGCAATGTTTGTTTGTATCTCTGTACAAGTGAGGATGTACCATCAGTGCAACACAGAATTATGTAACTGATGCTTAAGAGACTGTGTTGGCAGCGATCTTTCAACACAGCGTTAACGACAGTATGTATGTATGTTGAACTTCTCTCGTACCGCACGTAGCCAACCGTGCTAATCGGAGGTGCGGAGGAAGGACAACTTACTAAACACAAACAACTGTTCTCAAGAAATGAGTTTTGAATCTTGTTTTAAAATGTTACATTTTGCTTGCAGTTATTACAAGGACTCCACACCACTACACTGAGATGTGGAGTCATTGGTCATCTGTGCACAGGCACATTTTAATTGCTTAGTCTTTATACAAAAGTTAATCATATTTAAACAAATTCAATTGCAGCTTGTGGTAATTAAAAATGTCCTTTCCATAGCCTCGAGTAAAATGCATCTTGTGATTTACCTCTTGCAATTGACCTCAAAATGTACATTTTCTTAACGAGCTCTTTCATACACATAACCGCTTTCTTTCCTTCGACGGGAGCTGTCGGCAAGTTTTCACATCTCCAGCAGCCGACATGTGTCTTTGATTCAGCAGCTTAACACTTTAAAAAGCGTGAACTTTGAACACTTATTTTAATGGAAACAGGAGAAAATTAATGCCCATTGTTACTCCCCGCAAATATATTCGTGGTTGCGCTGTGCGGTTCTCCGATGTGTTTTGTGGGCTGTGCCGCGTGTTGTTTGGCAAGACGTCTGACGTCACGGCCCACGTCCCGGGAGCTTCTCCGTCTTCGTCTACTCCGAAATATTCAGTTTGTAAAATATAAAAAGCCGGCACGTGGAAGCGAAACATCGGACGTCGTTCAACCCCCCCAACAAAAAAAAAACGCATCGGGTAGTTGAGGCTGATGTTTTTCGAGACGGACGCGGGGTGGGCGGGGGGGGGTAGCACCCTGCCCCCCGTGTTACTCTGGCTTCGTGCGCGCAGCGCCAGCCTAACCTCGCGTTTCCGTGAACCAGTGCGGCGGAATCGTGGGTAGCGGGACGGCGCTTAACTCTGCCCGATGCTCCGCCGGTCTTCAGGTTCGATTGGTTCCAGACTGAGTTCAGCGTCTCCCTGGTTGTTTACTCCAAACAGAAGGTATTACGTCCCACAGTAGGGGGTGGGTGGGGGGCCGCTTGCCGCCCCCCCCCCCCCCCGCTGCTGTACGTGCCTCCACATCGCCCCGCGCTGATTTGTTACGTGATGTCTTCAGTGTTTCCTTTTTTTTTTTTCCAATTGTTCTCTCTTTCCCGTTAGACGTTCTGATTTTGTCCGACCAAGTTATTATTTGGCAAAGAACACTCAAACTCACAGTTGCATGAACTTCATATCCTGGTCTGCTGTCCATTTTCCACCGTACATTTTCATTTTCATTTTGGTGCAGCGATGGCACAATGGGTATCGCACTGCGGTATGAACCCGATGACCTGAGAGTGATTGCCAGCCACGGCTAAGATCATTGGCGAGTGGTATCTGAACCGGTCCTGGGCACACTCCCCTTTACCAACCCGCACCGACCACAGTAGTGAAGTATGGCCAAATGACTCCTTTCATCAACACAGCATAGGGAGATTTGTTAAACTTGGTCATTCGTAACCACTCTGTGCACCACTCTGTGCACCACTCTGTGCACCGCTCTGGAAAGGCAGCAACAGTTAAATCTTGACTTAAAGCTTTCGTGACTGCAGGAATTCATATTCTTTTGGTCTTTCGGTAATGTCACGTAGATAGGTTCAAATAAAAATAACAAAAAACAACGACGTTTTGATCGCAACACAAGCGTTCGTCATCCTCCTCTTCCTGATGACGATCGCTTGTGTTGTGATCGAAACGTCGTAGTCTTTTGTTATTTTTCTTTGAACCTATCTACGTGACTTTACCGTAAGTCCCAAAGAATATGCAGCAACAGTTGCTTCTAAAGGCATACTGGCCCTTGACACACAGGATGAGCGCTACAAATCAGTCACCATTTAATAAAAAATAACTGGTTATTTTTGGTCTTGTTTGTCCTGTTTTGTCTCCCAAACGTGACTAGTTAATTATTTATGTATTTATTCCATTAATCGACATGTAACATTTGCCTATGGTTCGCATGCAATTTGCTGGCATCATAAATAAGCAATTGTAACACGCATGGTATGGTTTAGATGTCATAAACATTTAAGACTATTTTAATAGATGCATCGCTTTGTGCCTGATAGGTTTAAAACAGACTCAAGCATACAGCCCTTTACAGGGTGGGGGCCTTTCCATTCCATGTTGGTTACGCGAGTTGTTTGAATATAGTTAACCGTAGACATGGGAGTAATTAAATATGTTTGTGCGCACGTGCTAGGTGTTGATCGTTGCATCGCACACGACCGTGAGGGATAGTGGTCGCCGGTGGAGGGCTTCATCCAGCATTGGATTGATCGTGGTCAATGACGTAGTAATAATGATGATGATGATGTCAAACACTCATTGTCTGCAGGACCTGGAACCTGAGTGCGTGGTTGTGGACGTTAGCGACCGTGAGCTGAGGGTGTGCGTGGTACTGGGGGACCAGTCCTACTTACTTCACCTCGGTGAGAGTTGCTTCGTGGGATAAATCTCCCTCGCCCCCACATCTGCGTAGGTGGCTCAGTATAAATTTGCGAGGTGGTTAGTCAGGTAAACGATTCTTACATGGCAGGGTTTTTCAAATGGCGTCGAATGCGATGGCTCTTTAAGTGGCTCGCTGAGAGATGTGGTCCTCCAATAGATATTTCTTTCCGACCTGTGTACTTTTTAATCTCCATTGAAAACGAATTTCTTTAGAAGTGATTTTTGTGTATGGTTTGTTGTCCTTCCCACGCCCCTCCAAAAAGCACGGTTGGCTACGTATGGTGCACAATAAGTTCACCATACATACATTTCGTTTATAAACAAAACCGGAATTTTGAAAAGGAATCAGAATTTGTGATGATACATCCAGCATCATCGGGTGTTAACAAAAGCTCAGCTCTGCTTGGAAAACCTTCCTGATCTGAGTCTTTAAATGAGCGCCATATTATCAGCACAGTCATGCATGTGATCCAGTTTAATCATTAGTTAATTTGCCAATGATTGGTTTTGATTGGCAGGCCAGATTAATGTAATAAGGTGAATCTATTTAGCATTGGTAAAAATTGATTATCCTCAAACGTATTAAGGTGTAATGCATTCTAATGAAGCTGCCTGGGAATGGGATTGTGATTCTCGATAAGCGTAAAATGATTCATAGGATTAGCTAATTAGTATTATGAGGATTAACACGATGCACCACAAATGCCTCATCGTGGGGTTTTCTCACAAATATGTGTTAAATCTATATGATCTAACCCAAAATAAACTAATTGGAATGATAATGACGGTGATGAAGTCTGCGTATAATATTACTCTATTTTATATTCCAATCATTTATTTTACTTCATAAACTATCGAATGCATAAATGTAACTAAAACAGAAGCAGATCATCTAGCTGCATACATTACTTTATGACCCCTACAATTCTGCACAAACCTTCCTGTCTCATGTAAGCCCTTTCTGGACATAAGTGCATATTCTTTGGACATGCAATTAATCTTTCTGCCTGTATGAGCTCTTTCATCCTTACTTCCGAACAAGTGATAAATCCTGCCATCGTTTAATGGTGTGACTCACTCTGCCTGCTCTGCCTCCACTCTTAACGCCTTCTACTTATAAATCTGGCTGCTCAGAATGTTTCTTAATCTTATTCACACGAATTACCACCCATAGCCAGAGCATCCAACTGCATTTACAATTTCCCTTCATTTGTGATTTTTATTATTGACAGGTCCCATTCAAGGGAAGTGCAGAATTCGCCACAGATGTTTGCATCTGAACCGGCTCTCCGTATTGCAGAAGAGCTCTGCAGATAATTTTGTGCTGGTTAAGTTGAATGTATTTGCGACGAAGTGCGCTCACCACTAATTTAATGATGGGAAATTGTCTCTGTAATGATGTAGGCGGGGGAGAAGTCTAGGTCAGCGTAGATGGTCTTGGAAATTTTTTATTTTGCGTGTGTGCAAGACGGTGTTCCAAATTTGGCTCTAAATTTCTGACGTGCTTTCTGCCCTGTGCAAATGCTAACGGCTGATGTGTACCCGACCCTGTCATTTCCCCGCAAGAAATGGTGATATTCAGTTTAATGTTAGAGAGCATTTCATATTCATACATGTTTTATAACATTGTCGATTACCACTGACTCGCTGCAGAATTTCTTGTGCTTGGTTCGTACCGAGTGGTTGCGAGAAATTACAGTCACTCGTACGAATTGCAAATCAATTATATTTTTTGTTTGCTTTACGCAGAGCTGGAAGACAAGGTTCTGGAGGAATACACAGGTAAGGGAGTGGCCCGATGTAAAGTGCGCGCTGCAATTTAGTCATGTCTGTCGGACGGGGTCAAGGGCGAGAATAATAAAATACGATTAACACAAATTATCCTGGCAGAGGTCTTTCAGAGCCATTGGGGGCACTGGAAGCACTCCGCATTTCCAGTTCTCGCGACATTTGGTGGAACCAATCGCCCCACCCACCCGGTGTGGCAAAACACATTTGCAGCAATAGATGGGCGTTAAACGCCCCTGAAGGCACTTGCATGCATCGTAGATTCGCGACGATCATTTCGAAAAATGTATTTCAAACAGGGCTTCACGACGAAACGTTCTGCAAGTGAACTGAACGCTTTGGCGGTGGGAGGCTGTACAGTGTGGCCGCCGAGTTGCCGTCATCTCCGTTAATGAGCGGAGCTGTGTTGGTGTTAACCGGTTCCCGTTCTGATGAAGTACATGTACATCATAAGTTTTTCTTACGATTCCGTTCTGACGACGTACGGAAAAAGCAGCATGATTCCGTTCTGATGACGTACGTGTATGTGTACGTAATTAAAACGAAACTGGAAGAAAAACTAAAATAACTCTTATCGGTACCGAGGCTCTCACAAGGCCACTGTTTTGACGCCAGCTATCATAAGAGTGCGGTTGTGTCACGTGACGTGAACGGTGACCCAGCCTGCAACTTGCAGATATTTCAGAACGGGAGAGGGTTAAGGGTCCACGCTTCATATGGATGTTCTCTTCGCCAGTCGCTATCCATTCACACCTCATTCCCCGGTCGTCAGTGCTGCTTACAAAAAAAAATGGTAGCACATCAAGCGTACTGCATGGTTGCTGTGTAGTTTTTATGCTTAACATTTTCTACATATTTTTTTAGGGAGCCTGCCTTAATTTTGCGAAATATTCATTGTGGCGCACGAGTAAGAGAGTCTGCATAGTCTGCTTGTTTAAGTGTTTCCCAATTGTCTTGTAGTGGGAGGTCAGAAACGCGGTTGCTGCATCCAATAGACAAAAGGATGGATGTGAATTCAAAGAAATGAGGAAATCGTATAATTTAGAAAACACGAAGAGGGTGTCATTTTAAGCAGGCCGGGCGACTGTCAGGATTACTCGCCTGGAATCGAGGTTTTAATCCTCATACCCTTTGCCACCGGCACATCGGAGCTGTTGTGCTGTGGTTAGCCAGAACCAAGCTGAGAAAACTCTGGCCTCACAAAACATATGAATGTGGCTCAGGGCTAATAATTTCCATCACATATCACAATCGGTACACCTGCACGAATGGCGTGTGACGTCAGCAACTTGGCTGGTATCCTCCGGTGACACTCCCCGAGAAGCGCGCCAGGCTCGCTCGGCATAGCCCCGACGCAGCTCGTACGTACAGTGGAAAAAAGCAGCGTGAGAATTTGAATACGATTCACGCAGGATTTTCCCCAGCTCTGGCGTCGTGTCGAATAAGCGGGCCATAAATCCAGCTGTTTCTCCCTGTCGGATTGCTTTTGGAACGTAATTGCGCGCGGCAGCTGAGTGATGCCCCATGCACGCGAGCGCTCCTGCGGATCCGTGTCAGTGAATTTGCCTGTCAAAGGTGCAGTCTTCCCTGTTGTGCGCAATGATTTTGAGTGGCGAGTGGGGGGGGGGGGGGGGGGCTGGAGTAGGGAGGTGTAAACGACATGGTTTTTGTGAATTTTGCAAACCACCACGTGCACCTGCAGCGACGAGGACTTGTTTACATTACTATTTTATTTATTAAAAATATGTTCCAGTTGCACGCACGACTGTTATAGAATGCATGAATGTTCAATCTTTTGTTGGTAATCACTGGCGGAGCGATTGGGGGGGGGGGGGGGGGGGGGGGTGTGGTGGCACGTGCCCCGCCAATGATCCGATCGAAATCCCTCATTTACATCGGATCATTAGTAATAAATTGGCATTTTGCGACCTCCACTGCCACTGTGTAGCATATTATGAGATGATAGGACAATAGTCTGATTCCATAATTGGCAATAAGTAACGGCAAAGCAGTTATAAGTGACTCAGAATTGTGCGCAGTTGCGTATACAGTACACGACTTCCCTGAAGGCATCAACACCTTCAGCGAGCGCGATGCCGATCACCAAACGGGGTTCGAAATCGACCCTCGCCGCACATGCGTCGAATAAAAAGCAAGGGACAACTCCTTACTTACTAATAACTCCTATAATTTTTCATTGCTGGGGGGGTTGCCCCCCCTACCTGAAAATCCTGGCTCCACCATTGTTGGTAATGAGTAAGCCAAGGTTTGTTGTGGATACATTGTCCTTTCTGTAATCTCCAGGCTTTAGGGAGAGCTATAGGGTACATGTAAAATGTACATCGTGTTTTATTTGTGACATTCGTTTTCACAAAATATGAAATCACGTGATTAAAAAAAAATTGTCATCTTTAATTAATCTGTGAAAATATAATCGGACTTTGTGACAATTGAGTCCTGTTCACACAACCATGTATTTTTTTCCACATGCACATTTTTAAGGACGTGTATGATCCAAGTGCACATTCTCACTAATGCCAGAACTGCGTTGTGAAAAACATATTTGGAAAACTAGAATTTAAAACAGCACCCAACATACCGCTGTTTCTTTGCCCCATTATGGTTTCCCTTAACAACAAAACACTTTCATGTCATTCTCAGAACTGTTTGTAACCTCACACAACACATATCTGCTCCAGCAGCTGTCTGTGCTCTGTAGTCCCTGTCCAAATCAACAGTCAAATGCAAACTAATGCAACCTAGTGGTGGCCTTAACATTCATTTTAATGCAATATATAATCTGTTTTTCTGCCAAAATTAGAGACAATGCGATTTAAAGAGCTCCTTTGTGTGATTTCAAACTGATTGTTTCAGCATGTTCCCTGCCTTTTAGAGAAACAAATCAAAGGACGAATGAAGTGTTCTGCAATAAAGGCTTGAGCGCCTGGCCATAAAATAACATTTGCCGCATCCTACCTGATGATCACGCTGAAATGTCACGACATTACAGGATAGCTAAATTGCATCTGCTACATCACGGTTATGCGTCTTGTTTCCAGCGATGGCAAGTGCACTCTTGGGAGTCTTGCGAGGTCAGAGTTTCACAGTTCGGTGCTGGCTCAGCTTGGCAAAATAGCCAGTGGAAAACCACCGGTACCATGAGAAACCCGCGCTGTTGCGGCTCGAATGTGTCGGTGGAAAAAGAGGTGACCAAAGTCCACGTTTGGGCACTTAGGCTGGCACTGTGGAGATCCTGAGTTTAAATCTGGGCATTGACAATCTCAGCCAAGTCACCAATGAAGGCACTAAAAAAAACCAAGCCGTTATATTGAGTCAGATTTTTCACCTAATTCTGTATACAGTAATACTGGACCGCTCTAGCAAAACAAATTCTAGAAGCTATTGAATTATCATCTTATTTGGTTAATGGAGAGATGAGTTCCGATATTTATATTCAGGAGGAGAATAACAGTGTAAGTGAATTTGGAGCTACTCTCGCCCACAGCAGAGTGGCCTCTTCCAACACAAAGTCTGTAGCTATGGTGAACTGTGCTTTAATGAGACAGTATAGCATACATAATAATGATAATAACGATGTAAACCTCACACACTGTCTTTAAGGCATTTGGCCGGAGTTAGCAATTGCAAACCTTTAACAGTGACTCATTCGTACTGTCGGATCTGTAAATGATGAGAAAATTCAACCATAACAGGAAAGTTCGTGCAATCTGGAAATCCACACGTTTCAAGCAATACACAATAATGCGTAAAAATCACACGGCCATTGTGCACATGCAAAGATAAACATAATCAGCATTATATTCTTGGTCCTTTCGGTAAAGTCACGTAGAAGGGAAACAATAAAATAATAAAAATATAAAACAATAAAATTCTCACGACGTTTTGACTGCAACACAAGCAGTCATCATCAGGTGTGAAAACCACGGCAAGAAAATTTGAAAAAAGTGGCGTTTTTTTTCTTAACGTTAGCAGCACGGACAGCGATTTGGCAGTTCAGATGGACAAGTCCATCTATGTTCGGAAAAGAGGAGGGGGGAGAGGAAGACAATGGAATGTGGTCTGAAAGTCACCGTGGGCTCACATGAGATTGACTTCTCCAAGACAGAGGTTCTCTGCAAGCCATCTGGCTACCATGAGAGATTCGTTCATGAGGCTATCCACATATACACACAGAGACAATTTCAACCGAGAAGATGGATTCTGGCTTAGCAATCATTGGAAGTATTTGATGAACCATTTCGGGTCTTAATTAATTGTGTTCGCGCTTACGGTCACTTTCAGACCGCATTCCATTCTCTTCCTCTCCCCCCTCTTTTCCGAACATAGATGGACTCGTCCATCTGAATAACTGCCAAATCGCTGTCCGTGGTGCTAACGTTAAGAAAAAAACGCCACTTTAAATTTTCTTACTGTGGTTTTCACACCTGATGATGATTGCTTGTGTTGCAGTGGAAACGTCGTGAGAATTTTATTGTTTTATATTTTTATTATTTTATTGTTTCCCTTCTACGTGACTTTACCGAAAGAACCAAGAATATGAATCCCTGCAGTCACGAAAGTTTTAAATCAAAATATAATCAGCATTGCCTGTAGAGTGCATTGTGGCCCACTAGCCCTACATCTCTGCTGCTGTCAGTTGGACACATTTTTTACTCGCATTTCTTTTAATGGTGAGCTAAGACAAGAAGACCACAGATACACTTCAGGAAATGCTCTTTTTTTTTGCATACGCACAAGAGGCTGTGGGCTTTTCACACATTTTTTGGGGGGGTCTTGATTTGAAACGTTTGGTTTTTGCAGCCCGCACTATTTTCCATTCACGATGGGTGTTTTTCTCGTCGTTGTTCAGACGTTTGATTGCATCAATCACTGTTCGTGTCTTGTATGAGGCGAATCGTAATGAGCACGCGAATGTGCAGCACACGACGAGCACACGCTCCTGCGGTGCCGTTGCATATACGCAGCAGGAGCTGTGACAGCAAGGCTACTTAAGAAGGGAGCAATGGGAATACCTGGAACAGCACTTGAATGCTATTACTTCTTTGTCATGTGGTGGCGTGGGGTTGTTTGCCGGACCGGCGTGCTAATGTATTGGCTGTGTGGTGGCTTCGGTCTGTGTCTTGGTTACAGCGAGTTGTGCGTGTCTGTGTTGCGATGCGGGTCTATGCTCGCTGTGATACACCAACGTGTATGGTTCGATATAGGATAACCGTATCATCCATTTTGCTAAATATCGTCATGATGTGATTTTTTTAATTGTTTTCTTTGAACCTATCTACGTGACTTTACCGAAAGACCCAAGAAGATGTGATTATCGTTGCTCATTTAACTTTTTGGACATATTTACTTCGTGACAAAATGTTTATGAACCATCAGACTCTAATATTACAGTTCTAAATAAAGAGCTGTTATCGAGTGAATTGATGTTTTATTCTTGGTTCTTTCGGTAAAGTCACGTAGAAGGGAAACAATAAAATAATAAAAATATAAAACAATACAATTCTCACGACGTTTCGACTGCAACACAAGCAATCATCATCAGGTGTGAAAACCACAGCAACAAAATTAGAAAAAGTGGCATTTTTTTTCTTAACCTTAGTACCACGGAGAGCGATTTGACAGTTTGTTCAGATGACAATCGCTCTCCGTGGTGTTAACGTTAAGAAAAAAACGCCACTTTTTTCAAATTTTCTTGCTGTGGTTTTCACACCTGATGATGATTGCTTGTGCTGCAGTCGAAACGTCGTGAGAATTTTATTATTGTTTCCCTTCTACGTGACTTTACCCAAAGAACCAAGCATATGAATCCCTGCAGTCATGAAAGCTTTAAATCAAAATTGATGTTTTGTCAAATGTTTCCCGGAGTAATTGGCAGAACGGTAATTATATGATATCACTGTAGTTTATTGTCCGTGGGTTGTGCGTATCAGTGGTTTGTGTTGCTTTAGATTGGTTGTGCGCGTTGGTGGGTTGTGCGTGTTTATGGGTTGTGCGTGTTTGTGGGTTGTGCCCTTTCGTAGGTTATGCCTGTTTGTGGTTGTGCATGTTCCTGGGCTGTGCACGTCGGTAGGTTGTGGCTGTTCGTGGGTTCTGCGTGTTTGTGGGCTGTGCGCGATCGTGGATTGTGCCACTTTGTGGGTTCCGCGGTTGTGCATTTGTAGTGCAGGTGACGTCCCCTCTGGGCAAGGTAGAGGTCTGCCTGAAGAAGGCGCAGCCCAGAATGTCGTGGAAGAGTCTTGGCCAACACCTTGGGGGATCCGGGCTGCTCGACAAGACGAGCTCGCGCGGTGAGTCGGCACCCCACCAGCGACGGTCAAGAGCAGGCGCAACAACGACTCCTCGATCGCACGTGATCGCTGTGCGTGCAGTTGAGTGCGGATAATTGGGAATGTAAGAAATTACGACGTACGATTTGAACGTGTGCCGCCCGTTTTGTTAATCCACCGGTGGATGAGTCCGCTCCCCCATGCCGTGTGGGATCTGGGAGGTATTTGCCCATGCTTTTCCACGCTGTCCATTGCAGGTCGGCGAAGGCGGGAAGCATCGAGAGTGGAGTATGGATATTTGCCGCGCTGCCACCAGCTGACAACGTAGCCCCGCAGCAAGCCTATAACACCTGTTTTGTGCATGGTGATCACCCATCGAGCAGTATCCAGACTCAACCGAAGCGATTGGGCACATTCTGGGTGATTCGCTGTTAGGCTATTTACTAATTATGGAAACTCATTGGGCCAACAAGCCTCGTTTGCAAGCGCAACCTGGATCGACAAGCGACAACAACGTCTATTAAGTTACTCGTGTTAACGTTTCGAATTAATTTTGCATTCACCCTTACAATAAGTGACATTTTAAGTATGCAAATTGTTACGTTTAGGCTCACGGAGCACAGTGAGATTGCACAGAACAGAACAGAACGAGAATACCAATGCGAACAAGACGGAGCCAAGCGTTGCGTAACAATCTGCGACGTACGCGTGATATTTTGATATTTTCCGACTGTTCCCTTTGCGACGGGGGATACCTGCAGAGCTGCTGTTCCGGCGCGGCGTTGTGACCGCCCGCTCGACGGTGACCCACGACACGGTCCTGCTGTGCGTGCGCTTACCGCCCGGGACGCACATGGGCCTCGCACTGGGCCATCACGTGTACCTGCAAGCGCCCGTGCAAGGTGCGTCCACCGCCACTCGCCTACATTTCTACCCAGGACTCGGGAGTGGCTCATCGTTGAAGGCCCGGTGGGACCGGGCTTCTTGTGAAAAAAATAAAAAGGGATGGGGCGGGGGGGTAGGGAGAAATGCTTAATAATTGCCTGCTCGATAGAAAAAATAATGAGCGTTACCCTTTTCAGGAAATGATTCAGGAGGTGTTAAGATGTTCAAACACCAAATAGACATCTATCATAAGGCACCAAGCCTGCATTGACACACACACGATTGTGGTAACACATCCACACATAGAAGCTTTGATAATGCATTCACTGTCCTTGAAACTGATTGGCCTACACCAGAGACAAAGCTCCATTTATGGGCTTGTCTCACCAGTGTGAGACCAAAGAACGCCAAAAGGCATAGAGCACAAAGGCAATGCAAAATGTCCAAGCACTAATAGCTCGGGTTGAGCACTGCATACACCCCCTCCCCTCCTCCTCATCCCCCTCTCCTGTGCTTTGTGCCCCACCGATATTTATTTGCTGCCCCCGCTGCCATTGTACGGGACTCAATTGCTCACCGAATATGTTGCTTGGTTGCTGGTGGGCTGGAATGGGTGGTGCACATGGTGCTGAGAGGCCGACTGGGGAGAGGCTTTCCGGGTCACTGATCTGAACTGACACATGGGCTGAGATTAAGTCCCCCGTGTGTACGCTGTGCAGCGGTCGTGTCTCAGTGTCAAGGTGCGGCCGCGCTTGAGCTTTCATTAATTCAGAAAGACGTTTAAAGGTCTTCGTGTATTTGTGTTATCTTTAGACAGTTTGGGCAGTCATTTGGAACACTGGCGGTTTTTGTAATTAATTTGCGTGTTTAAATATTTTTATGTTCATATGATAATTACTTGTTACGCAATTTGTTCTCGGACTGTGTTGAACCAACTGTTGCATGTCTTTTTTTAAATGTCATTGTTTTAAGTAAACCACTGTTTAAAAGCTTACAGGGCCCTATTTTCCTGCTCTGAACAAAGGGGATTGCAAGACAGTAGCTATGATTTGGCACTGTGGAGCCAGGGTTGGCGGACCACATGGATATGTCCGTGTGATGTCATTAATTCAACCTGCGGGGCTGTGAGGTGCTTATAAGATGGCAGTACAGCAAGTGGGATGACATACCCTTCTCTGTGGGACTTCGAGAGCAATCCCCTTCTACGTGTGGGTTTTTCTCTGGTAATTCCAGTTGCTTTTCACACACAAAACACTCATTCATAATTATTATTTTTACTTCCCAAAAAAGATGGACTCAGTGAGGCTTTCCTGGATTGGCAATTGCTGTCAGCTCAATAGTTATAAGGTAATGAGTTGGAGCGGTGGTTAGTGCGCGGCACTATGAACCCGGTGACCTGGGTTTGATTGCTGGCCATCACTAACATCAATGGCAAGTGATGTCTAAACCAATCCTGGGCCCTGCATTCACTAGTTCCAACTGACCAGCGTGATGAAGTATGGTCAAACAACCTCAAGGACCAATACGGCCCTGGGGGAAGGCCTTCATCCAGCAGTCTATTGATAATAGGCTAAACATATTATTTGTATTATATTACATGAGTTATATTTTGTCAGCTTGATGCTATTACTCTTTATGAAGGTTTGCTTAGCCTGTTTTGTTTAGGTTCAGTTTGCCTCCTCGGTGGTAATATATTTCAAATTACTTGTGTTTGGTTGAGATCCGAGGGACCACCTCCTCTATCCCAACCTAAGTGTCAGTGAAATATTTATTTAACGGTGTCCCAACGTAGGAGCGATGGCATGAGAGAAACACATTGTCTTGCACTCTGATTAGCATTTTTCAAACGTACGTGACTGACACGTTTATCTCTCAAGCAGGATGCGGTGCGGCTCGTTGTTCGGCTACGTTTTATTGAGCGGCATGTATGGTATGACAGTTTTATTCTTTAAGCTGCAATGCTGTGCGGAAATTTCCACAAATGTATTTTTTTTCTACCACTCTCAACATGTCAGCTTTGACAGCCGTCCAACGTTCACGTGAGCGATTGTGTTTTTGTGGATCGTATTTTAATATTCTGTGTGAAACACAATTTTGCACCGAATGAATCTTTTATCGTGCATTATTATTATTTGGATATTGGACGTGTACCAAAATTGCCCGAGCACCGAGTCACTTCCACTGTTGATATCCTGGGTTTCACTCCACGCAAGCCTCAGTGATTTAACTGGATTCTCGAGTCTTAAGTAAGTTGATGGTCTCAGTCTAGTCACCGTTTACCAAGAAAAAAAAAATAAAGCCTCCTAACACACTCGGTTAAGAGAAATCACGTTGGACTGCAAAAACAAGTAAGCGAGCTTGAGCAGGACTCGTTGTTGAACGGGATGATGGCCAGTGGTTGAGACTAATGATGGAGTGGCAGCCAAAGGAGGCAACGCGCCCGAGAGGACGCCCACTGCAGGGGTGGAGCAATGAAAATCAGCTCGTGTGCAAGTGCTAAAGATGGATTGTTTAAATCACAGCAACACCTCCGAATACACCTCCGATATCCATTTCCGTGAGCCATACACTCTTAACACGAAGGGGAAAAATTACTTACTTTTTTTTAAGAATGACATTCCTCCCGTATTTTGTTCACGGTGTGGTACATCGTAAGGGCTTTTCCCGCAACACGTTAATTAAAACAAAGCAGAATGCAATTGTCCTTGTCTCTAAATGGAGTCTCAGCAGCGAGCAACGTCTTATCATCTCCGGTTAGCGGCGCTGATGAGCACGTTTGGCTACATACGGTGTAAAAGAGGTTCAACATGCGCACATACATAGATGGTTTGAGCTTTTGGGAGGATCTTCATCCAGCAGTGGATTGATTTTGGCTGATGGTGGTAATGATACATGTTTTTATTTGCGCAGTGCAATATATTCAGGCTCTGAGGACATTGCAGTTTTATACTGCCATATGACAAACATTATTTTCAGTGCCTATAAAAATGTGCTGTGAGGTTTGTTATTGATGTAGCTTGAGAAATATTTCTGTAACAGCATCTTCTACGACCATCTCAGTGCAATATTTCTGACTTGATCTGATAGTAGAAAAAAATAAGTAAAAAAACTATATTTCTCCAGCTCCATTTGAGGGTCATAATTACGTCACTTTATTTTAAATGGGCCCTTATTTTCACTGGAAACAGTGGACGCCTTGTTCCATGGCACACCACTCATACAGTGAGGGTAAAAAGTATTTGATCCCCTGCTGATTTTGTACATTTGCCCACTGACAAAGAAATTATCAGTCTATAATTTTAATGCTAGGTTTATTTGAACAGTGAGAGACAGAATAACAACAAAAAAATCCAGAAAAACGCATGTCAAAAATGTTATAAATTGATTTGCATTTTAATGAGGGAAATAAGTATTTGACCCCCTCTCAATCAGAAAGATTTCTGGCTCCCAGGTGTCTTTTATACAGGTAACGAGCTGAGATTAGGAGCACACTCTTAAAGGGAGTGCTCCTAATCTCAGCTTGTTACCTGTATAAAAAACACCTGTCCACAGAAGCAATCAATCAATCAGATTCCAAACTCTCCACCATGGCCAAGACCAAAGAGCTCTCCAAGGATGTCAGGGACAAGATTGTAGACCTACACAAGGCTAGAATGGGCTACAAGACCATTGCCAAGCAGCTTGGTGATAAGGTGATAACAGCTGGTGCGATTATTCGCAAATGAAAGGAACACAAAAGAACTGTCAATCTCCCTCGGCCTGGAGCTCAATGCAAGATCTCACCTCGTGGAGTTGCAATGATCATGAGAACGGTGAGGAATCAGCCAAGAACTACACGGGAGGATCTTGTCAATGATCTCAAGGCAGCTGGGACCATAGTCACCAAGAAAACAATTGGTAACACATGAGATCGGTGAGGAATCAGCCAAGAACTACACGGGAGGATCTTGTCAATGATCTCAAGGCAGCTGGGACCATAGTCGCCAAGAAAACAATTGGTAACACACTACGCCGTGAAGGACTGAAATCCTGCAGCGCCTGCAAGGTCCCCCTGCTCAAGAAAGCACATATACATGCCCGTCTGAAGTTTGCCAATGAACATCTGAATGATTCAGGGGACAACTGGGTGAAAATGTTGTGATCAGATGAGACCAAAATGGAGCTCTTTGGCATCAACTCTACTCGCCGTGTTTGGAGGAGGAGGAATGCTGCCTATGACCCCAAGAACACCATCCCCACCGTCAAACATGGAGGTGGAAACATTATGCTTTGGGGGTGTTTTTCTGCTAAGGGGGCAGGACAACTTCACCGCATCAAAGGGACGATGGACAGGGCCATGTACCGTCAAATCTTGGGTGAGAACCTCCTTCCCTCAGCCAGGGCATTGAAAATGGGTCGTGGATGGGTATTCCAGCATGACAATGACCCAAAACACACGGCCAAGGCAACAAAGGAGTGGCTCAAGAAAAAGCACATTAAGGTCCTGGAGTGGCCTAGCCAGTCTCCAGACCTTAATCCCATAGAAAATCTGTGGAGGGAGCTGAAGGTTCGAGTTGCCAAACGTCAGCCTCGAAACCCTAATTACTTGGAGAAGATCTGCAAAGAGGAGTGGGACAAAATCCCTCCTGAGATGTGTGCAAACCTGGTGGCCAACTACAAGAAACTTCTGACGTCTGTGATTGCCAACAAGGGTTTTGCCACCAAGTACTAAGTCATGTTTTGCAGATGGATCAAATACTTATTTCCCTCATTAAAATGCAAATCAATTCATAACATTTTTGACATGCGTTTTTCTGGATTTTTGTTGTTGTTATTCTGTCTCTTACTGTTCAAATAAACCTACCATTAAAATTATAGACTGATAATTTCTTTGTCAGTGGGCAAACGTACAAAATCAGCAGGGGATCAAATACTTTTTTCCCTCACTGTACATGGACCGCCTTTCCATTAAGACATCTGCAAGTAGTTAATCAATCACTGGCCCCCTTACTCGTGTACCATTCCCATTCACAGTGCCTGCCGTGTCCTGGCATGACCTTCTCAACGCACGGGGTGGGGGGGGGGGCATTCAGTGGCCTTCGATTGTCACATGTTGCTGGGCCTCCCAGCCTTTTAGGCTGGGAGGCCCAGCCACACCGAGTCACCCGAGCACCAGGTCAGGCAGCGGCAATTTTGTTGGGGTTTTTTTCCCCCACTCAGTAACTAGAGCCATGCTGTGCACATCGCATGTGGAAAATGAGTCAGCTCGCTTGGTACTGGATCTGAATAAATAAAAATGTCTCATGAGGGCAGGGTTCATTATTTCGTTCTGGCTTAGATGTGCCACTGCGCAATAGGGGTTATAGAGACACTGATTATGAGCCTTTGGGCTCAGGGCCAGGCTTGCAAATGTCACGATGAGGAACAAAGAAAGACCTGTGGTGTGTGGCACATACAGACTCGAGCAGTGAGCTGTCAGCAAAGCAGGGGAAAGCCTGTTATTTAACAGGGAAAGTTCGCTGCACAAACACAATCAGCAAAATAACTGGGTTTGGTCAATAACGGAGAGAATCTCATCATGGTAACTCAAGCATTTAGCTGTTGATTAATTGGCATTGATTGACTGGGACCACGGTGTTTGATCAAAGTGAGAGCCATTTGGGATAACATCGAGCATTGCTGTCGGATGTGTTTTGAGATTGTACAGTATGGCACAATTGCTGACGTTTCGCTCCATGTGCCGAGAGCTTCAGGAACTGAAGCAGAACGTCAGACATCGTGCCGAGCAGCACGCCGTTCAACCTGAGAACGCGCGGGAGAGCCATACACAGCACAACCGCGAAAACGTATGCAGTTGTAACATTGAGCAGTTGCACAAAAAAAATTCTGTGGGAAAGCGCAGGCACAAGAGAAACAGGGTACACATTTGGTCCAACGAAAATCTATGCAAACAAGGCAAATCATTTCGATTGAAAAGTTTCTCAATGTAATATTCATGACACGCAAGGGATCACGGAGATTCTTTAAACATTCATATATTCATGTTTTTAAATATAAACAATGTAAAGTATGCAATAGTGAATGAAAATGCAGCAGTACCTGGATTATATTTTATAGTAAAAAAAAACTCTTTGGCATCTTGTTCGACGGTGTAGTTTGGATTGTAAACCTTTTGTTTGCTTCATCCATTGTGACCGCAATTGATTATTACTGCTTGTTTAAAAAAAAAATTATACTGCACGCCGTGTACTTCACAGTGGACGTTAAAGATCCCCTTCTTGTCGTATGGCTGATGTCGATGCAAACTAATGACTACAATTTAACATTCAGTGGTCAAGCCAGATAACCACGTCAGGAGCAGCGGAGTGTAATTGCTGTTTCTTTCGTATTTGTGGATCGGGGCATTGCATCATTATATGTTGTACGGTCTGTTCTGCATGACCACAGTCGCACAATGGAGAGCTTTTTTTTTATTTTCCATTGTGCATCTGCCATGGTTTGTGCGGTGGATGCAGATTAGGGTGGACCATGAGCTTCGCGGAAAGATCAAACCCAGAGATTTTCTGCGTTGGGTCTTTAACAAACATCCCCTGATGTCACAAGAGTAGGCCATTGTGTGCCGGCATTATGGTCCAAATTTGACAAATTCAAAATTACACAGCAAATTACTCAATTGGGATTATACATAGCAATGATCGTTCTCTCCTGGAAGGCTAATGCCTCAAATCACGCTTGTAAATGAAGAGATACAGGTCTCAAAAAATTCTCACCTGGTTAAACAAAATAAACTCGAACTTGATACCACCTTACGTAAGCATGCAGCATAGAAAACTTTCTGCAAGCCACAATTCTGAACAGCTGACACCCTGATGTTCTGAGATGTACGAGCTAGTGTTGTGCATGTGTGTCTGTGGAGCAACTGATGCAACGTGGGTTCATTGCGCAAGCGTGGATAACACTATTAGCAAGTGGTAACTGGACCTCTCTTGGGGTCTTCTTGGGCTTAAAAAAAGTACTTAGTGAAGTATGTAAAAAAAATTCAGTACTGGGGAGAGAGAGGTAGCCAGGCATGGTGCCAGCGACACCATCCTCTCACGTACCATTCTGACCTTCGCAGATGCTTGCTAACAGCACTTGTACCAACAGGCTTTGAGGCTTATTGGTGAAAATGTGTCCGTTTCCTGCATGCGTGTGTGTTCACAGGAGTCGATATAACTCGTGCTTACACTCCCGTGCTGCCCTCGCTGACAGCGCCCTGGGAGGTGGTGCCGCGCCTCTCCACCCTCTTGCACTTCATGATCAAGGTTTACCCCAACGGCACCCTGACGCCAGTGCTCGGCTGCCTTGGCCCAGGTAACCGCCCAACCTCTCACATTTGACCCCAAGAAGCAACGGCCGATAGGGCCTGGGGGTGGCAGGTGGCCGTGGCCTTGGGAAGGAGCTTATGGCAAGGATGGGGGGAACCTATGACCCACGAATTAATTTGATCCGATCTGAAGCTACGTGAAACCCCCACTGTTTGGAAACGGTCCACAAACGATGTTTATCAATTTAACACGTAGGCTTTCGCGACCAATATTATCCATAATGCAGGTTTTTTTGGGGTTAGATCGTGGAAATACAAAAGGAATGTAACAGCAGGATTTCTCCACAAATCTGGCTGTCGCCTGATGAAGTTAATTGTAATTACTGGCGAAACGTCGTACTCAGATTGTAAATGTTGTGGCTTTGCTCTCCAACACACCGGTGTGCTGTACTCGCAACGAATTGGCCACGTTCAGCCTCAGCAGCAGACCATGCTTTCCCACCTGATGACGGACGCTTGTGTTGCGCCCGAAACGTCGTGATTTATTTTATTTTATACCTACGTGACTTTAGCGAAAGAACCAAAGAGTATGGATTCCTGCAGTCACGAAAGCTTCAAATCAAGATTGGCCACGTTCTGTTTATGTGACAAACCTTACTAATTGGCTGTCGGGTAATGGCGGGTTTAACGACACATTTATATCCTTACTCGATCTAACGCAACATAAACCTGTATTATGGTTGTTTATTGATCGCTACGAGTATCTTTGAGTTTATTTGATTTGTTACACAGATGATGCCGTTTAGCAAGTTTCACGCTATTTTAGAGGGAAATATATTTTCGACCTCGGAGCAACACTATTTTATTATTTGTAGCGTGCACAATTACTGCCTGTTAACTGCAAGGGCCCATTTATATGCATTCGATGGACAAGTTATTTTTCGAATAATTATTTGGATAATGCAATAGGTGTGTGTCGATGCGTGGCCCACCAAAGATGTTTGGAATTTATTTTTGATCCTTTATGTAGAAAAAAAGTTCCTGATTGCCTGTCTTAGCGCAAATCTGGTTGGTCAGCTAAAACAAATGAACTGATGTTCTAAATCCACCGGAATAAGCTTACGGAAATTGATTATTCAATTGGGGAATGGACTTTTAATGAAAGTATATTTTGTTACGTGGACAATGTGATACTTTTCGATTTAAAGCTTTCGTGACTGCAAGGATTCATCTTCTTTGGTTCTTTCGGTAAAGTCACGTAGAATGAGAATAAAATAATGAATTGATAAAATAAAATAACACAATAATATTCTCACGACGTTTCGGCCACAACACAAGCGGCCTTCATCAGGTGAAGAGACGAGACTGTCTGGAGGACAGCGCTGTCTGGAGGACAGCGTCCCCTCACCTGATGAAGGCCGCTTGTGTTGTGGCCGAAACGTCGTGAGAATATTATTGTGTTATTTTATTTTATCAATTCATTCTTTTATTCTCATTCTACGTGACTTTACCGAAAGAACCAAAGAAAATGTGATACTTATTGCAATGCCTTGTGCTCATCCACCAAGGATGTCCCTTATAAAATAGCCGGGCAACTGGCTGAACAGGACCATTCCGTATGACCTATACGAGTCTCTTTTTTTCAAATATTATTGACAATGAAATATTTAGTTTTTAAACATATTATTATTATTTCTGCAAAATCGACGTTATTTTGCATGGCAGCAGGATTGTTGCATGAGCATTAGAACACAGGGGGTGGTTAGAGCATCTGCTTGCATGTGCTTTTGTTTAGCTGTGCGCATTTATTTGCCTCGTTGAATTCTCTAAACAAAATTGAGGCTCCATAATAAAGGTTTTTGGGTTAGATCGCGTTATTTTTAAATGTGTCGTAACCCTCCACCACCCGACACGGCTAAACAGCAAAAAAAGTGTCGCGTTGACAAAAGACAAATAATTCACTACTTTAGCCCACTGGTGTGTTGAAGAGTGAATCCACATCATTTACAGTTTGAGTACGACGTTTCGCTGGTAAATACATCCAGCACCATCAAACAATTCGCCAGAATGGTAAAGCCCTCGCTTGCTCCCGGTTTTATATAGAGCAGCAGGGTGACATCATCATTTAACTCATATCAGATGCAGTGATTAGAGGGGGAGGGGTATTGTAATTATATAATCGATTAGTAATCAGTCAATGGTTATGATTAGTAATGAGTTGTAGATTAGTAATTAGTTGTAATGTGTGTTAGTGATTATATGCTATGTTAGTAATCCGTTAATTAGTATGTGTTTCCCCTATAAGGCTCGCTTAACAGTCTGTTTTTCCAGTAGAAGGATCATATATCATGTAACCGTGTGTATACGTGTGTAACAGGTCAACTAAAATACTTACGCCTGGGTAATTGTTTTCTCACTGGTACCGAGGGTAAAGAAACGTCTCGATATTTTGGCCAACCGGCTTTGTTCAGCAATCGATTTGCTGAGACTCATGGTGTTTACAGAAAATACATTTACTGACAAAGCCCAGTCAACAAAAACAACAATATCTTTCTCTCCCTAGGTCTTGTTATTTGATTTAAAATCACCTGTAATTCATGGAATAAGTTCACCAAACCAACACATTTATCACATTTAAATATATATGTATATAAGCCACTTAACAAATGTTGGGTCAAGTAAAATCAATTTTAAACTTATTTCACAAGAACATAGTATGAACCCACAATTATTGAAACGAATTTTCATTTTTAAAAATCTATTCCACTTCAGTCATTTAAACCTAAGCCTAAAGTAGACAGGGCCAGGATAGGCTGAAAAGTGGCTTGGACCTTTTTAGGAATAACAACAGCTGTGCTTGAATAGGCTGAAGTGAAAGTGTACTCCTGATCAAATACAGTGAGCGAAAAAAGTATTTGATCCCCCGCTGATTTTGTACGTTTGCCCACTGACAAAGAAATGATCAGTCTTTAATTTTAATGGTAGGTTTATTTGATCAGTGAGAGACAGAATAACAACAAAAAAATCCAGAAAAACGCATGTCAAAAATGTTATAAATTGATTTGCATTCTCCCGGTCGTGCCAGTTGAAACAATGGTGCACGCTTCTTGAATCCCCCTCCCCCCTACCCGCCTCTGTCCACCCAGCTTAAATTGGGTACACCACAATTAGTTGACTGGCAGATCGCATGTGGCGGGGTAAAGTGTGGGTTACGCCCACCTTCCAAACATAGGCCAAAATACCCCGTAGACGAGTTCTCTAGTGCTTTCTTCAGTGAAGGCCCTCCTGCCAGCAGTGGTGTGTGCAAGTAATTGCGGGGCTGCACCTTAACCCTTTTTCCTACCTCTTACAGTAAGTTTAGTGTTCAAATAAATACCGTGGGAAGTATTCATTTCCCAACACCCAAGACCATGGTTGGGGTCTCCGGTAAAACTTGGCGCTGTCGGTGCTCTGAGTGCGCGTGGTGTCACGGCACACAGGGGACGCGGTGCTGGTGGGCGACGGTGCTGGAACCTTCCGACGAGCGCAAGTGGCTGGCGTGTCTCAGCTCAGCCTCATCGCAGCAGGCACAGGGCTGACGCCCATGGTGCGACTCCTCGCTTACGCCGTCGTCAGCGACCACATCCGGTGGGACTCCCCCTTCACTCGCTCGCTTAATGATGTGTATATTGTAATTTATGTAAATATATTTAATTGAGTTGAGACTAATGTTGAAAGCATTTGTACATCAGTTCTGTCCATTTAACCCTTGAGAAATTGGAGGTGGCGGGGGGGGGGGGGGGTGGTGGTGGTGGGGGCCACGATAACTCTGGAAATTATAATCTAATATGAACCAAACTTTAGTGTAGAGTTGTGTTACTGTTGGGGACTTGCCCTATTGAAAACCGGTCACTTTGATCAATGAGCTTTGTAAAACTTGGAAACAAACCGGAGCAAGAGAGGAGTATTGTATTTGCAAATGTACAAACCTGTGTTGTCCTCACAGCTACCTATCGGCTCCATACTACTAATTACATCTAAGAACAAACTCAAGCTGGACAGCTTATTGCATGTAATTTTACTGACGTGTTACAATTTCAAGTACATATGGTGGACAATAATGGCTACACTGTACTGATGAGTTCAAACAATGAAGAGACCGGTGTACAACATCCTTGTTGTCCTTCTGCTATCTGCCTCTAAAAAAAATCCTCAATCTCAGATCTTTTGAGCTGCTCCATGCTGAATCATGGGCAAGAATGGGGATATCATTATTGACATGCAATGCAAACACAAGTCTGTAATTTTATCAGGATAAAAATAAATACTCTAAAGTATCTTATTAGTCAGTTTAACACGTAGGCTTTCGCGATCAATATTATTCATAATAAAGGTTTTTGGTTAGATCGCGTTATTTATAAATGTGTCGTAACCCTGCTGCTCTATTTAAGACCGGGAGCAAGTGAGGGCTTCACCATTCTGGCGAATTGCCCGATGATGCTGGATGTAATTACCAGCGAAACGTCGTACTCAAAAACTGTAAATGTTGTGGATTCACTCTTCAACACACCGGTGGGCTAAAGTAGTGAACTATTTGTCTTTTGTCAACGTAACACTTTTTTGCTGATTGGCCATGTCGGGTGGTGGAGGGTTACGACACATTATAAATAACGCGATCTAACCCAAAAACCTTTATTATCTTATTAGTGTCTTAAAGTGTCAGCGATGTCACTATTTTACATCTCAAGCATTGTCACTGCAGTTACATCACTCAAGTGCTATCGTCGTGCTCCTAAAAGTGACTTTAAATTCTGATCACGTGGTTTGGTGTGTGGAAAAATGGGCACGCGTCTCAAATCCCTCCACTTAGGTCCCCCCCAATAGTATAAATAACTAAAGCAGTCGAGAGGCAGGTCTCGTGTGGTGGAGTAGAGTGAAGGTGCTCCCACCTCTTACATGGCCTCTGACCAACATGGAACATGAAGCAAATTATCCTCTCGAGCGGGGAGGGGGGCGGCTCTCTTAAGCTCCCTCTAGTGGCGGCACGTCCACCAGCGGTGCCGTGAGCGAGCCATTGCAGGGCAAAATGCCTCTATTCATTTTTTATGTTGTCGCAGTCAAATGGCTCTGAGGAGCAGTGTGACATGAGAGCGGCCCTCGTGTTATTTTAAGAAGCGGGCCCTTACAGATGATACGACAGATGTATTCACGGTCACTTCGGTAAGGCCTTTCACACAAAACTGGACACCACTATGCCATGCCTGCGTATATATCACTCATTTGATTTCTTTACAGCCCTCTGAGCTGGGTCAGACTAAATTTAGTTTCGGGCAGGAAAAAAAAGCTACATTTGTTTGTAGGCATTGGTGACCAAAACCTCCAGGGAGCATAATACAGCGGTAAATCCAGCATTGGTGTAAAACACCGATATACTTGAGGGTTTAACACTCAAGACGGATGGAAATTATAGTTTTGTCAAGAAGAGGAAGCACATCCGTGCCTGCAAGCTGGATTTATTCGGCAGTGCCAGGCTGAGACTGTCTCTTCACTACGGTTAAGGTATCATTTCCATGCTGACGAATGATCATTCCCATCAGATTTTTTTCATAAAAATGCGACGGTGTCCCCACTGCCACCAAGGGAGCTGCCGCCTCATTTTTACGAATATTCCAATAAAACCGAGCCACCGTCAATATGGGAATGATACCCTTAATCTGCAGGTTTATTCCAGAGCTTCCATGGTGTGAGCCACTGATTTGTAGTATTCGTATGTATGAGGAGTCAGTGTGAAGCCTTCTCGACCGCATCACTTTATGCCCAAAAAAAATCAGTATTGAAATCAGGAATTACTAAAGAGCCAGCTCTGAAAATTTAGTTAGTGGATTGTTATCGGCTGCAGAAACAATTGTATTTTATTTTTGGTTATGCAATTGTGTTCTGTATTGTGGGGGGAATGAGTGTTCGTTGTTGGCTATTGCCAAATCAGCCACACGTCGTTAAGAGTAAAAACGAAATGTAAACGTTTCCTGGGTGTGGTATCTACAAATTGGGAAGGTTATTTTAAGCGTAGAGTAGCCGGACAACTGATGATGCTTTTGGAAATATTTTAGGACAGACATGTAAGCTGACAATGAAGCACATTTGTGAACATTATATGTAAAGCAAATATATATGTACAAGTTTTAAAGAGGTATAATTTTGGCAAGCTGCCTAAAAATTTAATGTGACACAAGATTCCTTCACGAGCGTTTTGGTGCCTTAGAATATTACAATTATGCAAAATTGATTTGAAATCTGGGATGCTTAGCATGGCCGGCACAGTGGTCAAGGGCAAGCCCTGCTGTGCCTCGTCGTGTTTAAATAACCCTCTTCAGCATTTCTATTTGTAAATCAATCTCGGCCGGCTTTATTGTGAGTCGGGTAATTTCCAGGGACTTAAAGGATTGCCTATTTGTTATCAAATTGAAGCAATTGACCACATTCAAAATTGACTGCCTGGGGCCCACTGACATGTCCATTGCAAGTTTTGGCAATGGTGCCCTTGTGAGCATCTTGTGATTCAAAGCACGAATGGCAAACAGTGAAGTTTTTGTTTGAGAAATAGCTTTTTCCCCCTAAAACTTTTATCATAAATGTTGCCTATTGGGGTCACACGAAGAATCCATTTGGAACTTTCGCAGGCTGTGCAATATTCCATGTGGGAAAATGGTCCATGGAAGCAGATATCGCAGACTTACTGATGATATGTTAATAAATGACCTCCAATACACTTTCGGAAACACCACTTTCCTATGCACACTGCGACAGAGAAATGTATGTTGTATGACAGTCAAATCGATATGTTTAATTCACGGACTACATTTTGGAGAAATGAAGTGCCAAAAGAAATTAAATATTGTTGTATTTTTTTGTGTGCAATCACTGACAATTGAGCTGGGACTATCAATTTACTGCACCTGAGTACCCAGTTTAATCGTAGGTGACTGCCTTGATACGAACCCAGAATCTTAATGGTGCCTGGCACGCGCTCTGACCACCGAGTTATCCGGCCGCTTCGAGCTGAGAGATGTTTAAATATCTCACCACCTTCGATTGTTTTATTGAGTTATCCGAAATGAGGACTATTGCTTAAATGAACACAACTTCCACCACATACTATATGTACATTGTAGATGATTACCATGTACATACAAGTCCCTGAGTGAGTGCCCATGGCAACAAAAAAACCTCAGTGATAATAAATGTTCTGGTAATATTTACATTGTGATGTTATCTAAGCCTCAGAGTAGGGTCCCTTATCTTGTGTGTGTGTGTGCTGGGAATGCATACATATTACGTCTGGAACTGGGAAACTATCTAAGGCATTGATTACTCTCCCAATTAAAATTTTGATTCATGAAGTTGCGGAAAAATGTCTCACCTCTGTTCCCACACGTGTGCCAATGGACAGGAAGTGATGAATGGGACTTGGTAATGTTATCGGCATCATCAACCGTGTTACGCTGAGTGTGGCTTGTAGGCGGTTTCCTGACTTCAGGAGTCAGGATGTGTGTTGACGGAGGAGGTGTGGCATCGGTCATTGCAATGCACGATGGACCCGGGCATCCTGAGTTTTAATTCCATGCCACGATCCCGGCTCCCTGCTTCACCAACTGACCAGCATGGTGAAGTATGGTCAAACAACACCCACGACCGAAATGGTGTGGCGAGGTCTTCATTGTCAAAGGGCTGTAAATGTATTTGTTATTCTATATCCATAACAGGAAGTGACTGTTGCTGCTACACAGTGGAAAATTAGCACTAAAAATCACATCAGCGACAAGAAAAATGAACACTTAATCGGGTGTCACAGGCTCTTAATTACCACACGGCTTCAATGCCAAGCTACCACTGCCTCTGCTTATTCAACACCGCCAAAGGAAAGCAGTGGAGGCCCTTATTCAACGCAGCTGTGCAGTTTAAAAAAAAAAGAATGTCCTGTCCATCTTGCTGCTGGAGGGGCTATAATCATCGAACTAGATTTTACCCTTTGCATCGCTGCACATCCATGTGTGTCCATACTGTTTTGTACAGAGAGCACTCCTTTATTCAATTTACTGCTCCATATAAATGGTTCTACTTCAGAAAATTGTTGGGCGCACTTATAGCAAAGAGGGGAAGTAAATTGCAAAGTATTATTTTGCTCAATATAGTCTTTTCTCGCTTGAAGTTCTCCTCTCTCTTTAAATGGGTCATTACAGAGATGCCAATTTGGGAACAGAGTGCATCAAGCTGACCACGAGCTATTGGATATATTGACTCTGCCTGTCCACATCTGGCCTGAGGCCTAATGCACCGAAACACAGTCTAGGGGCATTGCCTCCGAGAGCTTTCATAGCAGCCCAAGGGCCAAAATGCTAATGCGTGATGATATTACCAGAGACATTGTTTTCCTGGGTATTGGGTCCTGTTACATCGGTGTCTTAGGTACCAATGCAAAGGGTAAATGGTGCAGAAGCATTGTCTGTAAAAGGTGAAGGGGTAGAACCACGTCACTTATGTGGGAGTGAAGTGGTGGATAATACAACAAGAGGCATTTTCTCAATATGATAGGTAATGTGCCAGGGCCAGGTGGCTTCGGCGCAAATGCACTGGGGATAACGGTCCCGATGCATTCTTTCTGATATATTTGGTCGCAATCTCTGGGCTGTGACTCAATTGACAGTGACCCTGTCTGGAGACCGAGTAAACAATTCCACTTGTGTTGCACAGGTCGGAGAAGGCAGGCAAACAAACATGATGCAGTGGAGGGTAGCGGCAGCTTGAAGGAAGGCCGAATCAGTATTCAGTCGGTGCCCGTAGAGCGTTGGTGAAAGTTGAAAAAAACCTGTATATATTTTTTATTTAAAAGAGAATAAAGTACACTTATGTGGAATTGGTTTAAACGGATTCAACCCGTGTATAGCACGACGTGTCACGCTCACCGTGCTGACATTTGGGTTTTGCATTTTTCGAGTGAAAGGAAGCTGATTGCGTCCACGTCCGTGGCTGCAATTTTGTGAGTAATTTTTTCGCGTGCATCTGCGTATTGTGTTGTATGCGTACAGTATATACATCTATTTGTTTACTTGTTTAATTCACTTAATTGCAGGAAAATCGAGCTGGTGTTCTTTAACAAGTCACCGGAGGACATCCTGTGGAAGCAGCAGATTGATGAGCTGTGCGACCGAGACTCCAGGTGCTGCCTTCACTCCCCACCCCCCCCCGCCCGCTTAAGCAACCCGCCTCCTATCTCCGTCGTCCCCTTGATTGAATTACGAACGCCTGCTGTTCTTGACCAGATGATGGATTGAGGGGTTGGTAGTCCTCATTCGCCCCCACTCCCTCCCCGTGCAACGAGCGGATGCTTGTCTTGCACCCCGTGTGACAGCAACCGCCCTTAACGCTGACGATTTAACGAGCCGCGCTGTTGTTCTGACAATATGCTTGCTGTGCGTGACGGTACTGTTTTCGAGGGTGGAAATGCGGCGATCCAATGCGTGAAGCAAACAACTGAGCAATGCTAGATTGTTGCAACTTTGCGGATTGCCGCTTGCCTTTCATGTGATTTACACGTGTAAAGACAGTACAGGGGGACTAGCAGTAACAGGGGGTAATGACAGGGGAATTAGCATGGGAAGAGACTGGGGGCCACGGGGGGTAATGACGGGTTAAGGGACAGACAGGGGAACGAGCTGGGGGTCTACGAGAAGGATCGAGAATAGAGGCTGTTGCCAAGTGATGGAAGGGGACGGATCAAGGAGCCATCAAGACGGTTCGAGAGTAGGGGGCGTGGCCAAGGGTCAAGGGATGGCCACGCTGGAGATAAAAGGGGTCGAGAGGAGAGGCTCTTGGCTGCTGTGGAAGTCAGGGTCTTCAACTGTTAAGTGAACGTGTTTTCAATAAAGAATCGTCAAAAGAGCAGTGTCTCCTGGAGTCGTTACACATGTTTAGCATGTTGCAAAGGGGTTCAGTCAGACCTAGGCGAGACCAAGTGAATCGACAGATAAACATGCATATTTTGTAGTGTTTTGTGCAGTCACGGATGATACATTCCACTTAAAGCAGGTTCACTGCCATGATGGCTTGATGGTACTCTACTTTGACGAATTTACATTTCACGTCTTCGCATGTTTTGCCACATTAGAGCCAGAGAGTGAACAGCAATTGTAATTTAATGAAGGTCATGGTTAAATAAACATATAAACCACTTAAGCTCAATTAGAAACAACAACATTCCTTGACATTTGTATTATCTGTAAGACAATTGAATGATGTGCCAATTAACCAAATAGCTGTTCATTTATTTACATTGTATTTGTTTTTAATATCGGGGCTACTGATTTACGGCTGAGCCCGCTGCAGCAGCATCCACCCACCCACAGCCACCATTTTTTTATTTCCAGCCACCACCAATTAATCCCTTGCACTGCCTCCCCTCCCAGGTTCCAAGTGCACTATGTGCTCTCGGAGGTGAGCGACAGATGGCACGGCCGCATTGGCAGGATCAGCAGGACGCTGCTGTCAGAGCTGCTGGCACCGGTGTCGAGTGGCGTTGGCGAGCGGAGGAGGCGGCTAGTGTGCGTGTGCGGGGCGGCCCCCTTCACCGAGCTGGCCGTCAGGTGGCTGAGCAGGCGGCGTCGCACAGATTGTGTGTGTGTGTGTGCGTGCGCGTGCGTGCGTTGGCGTTGGTAGTGCAACGGTTAACGCATAAGTGCTACGAGCCCGGCGACCCGAGTTCAATTCCCACTCACAGCCAACACCAGTGACAATTTTCTGAATAGGTCCTAGGCCTCCCGTAGGTAGACTCAGCCTCAAATGAGTACCTGGTCCCATGTGTAAACATTACCACTAGGGAGATAAAGGCGGCCAGGCGTGGTGCTGGCCATCCACCCCCTTGTTTACCGTTCCGGCCTTTATACGTGTTCGCAAATAGCACTTGCCCCAACAGTCTGCTAAGGCTATACAGGGGGGGTCTTTGTGCCTGCGATATGGGAAGTCATTTCCACTATGAACCCGATTACCCAAGTTCGATTCCTGCTTAGTAGCGAATACTTTAACTGGTCCTGAGCCTCCCCTAGGTCGATGCAGCCACAAATGAGTATCTGGCGCAGTGTGTAACATCATTACTGGGGAGGCAAAGGTCGCCAGGCGTGGTGTTGGCCATCCACCCCCTCGCGTGCCCTGCCGGCCTTCATAGGTGCTTGCTAACAGCACTTGTCCTTGTCCACAGTCTGTTTAAGCCTATACAGGGAATCTTTGCTTGCCGCAGTCAGGATTGGCGCTGGGTCTTCCGGCGATATTGACAGCCACGGCTGGAGCAAGAGAATTTGCTTAGAATGAGCCGCTGAATCATTATTATTTGTTTCGTGTGTATTTCTTTCTGTCATTGCTCTTTAAATGGGTGCTTTTACGGAATGGTTTGATGTGTTGTTTAACGCGCTGTGTAATCTTGTCACACGCACACGGCTTTTGTTCCCGAACCAAACATTTTAATGAGTTGAATAATATAATGCGGACGTGAGCTGACCTACCTCTAGAAGCAACAACGACACCTCTTTTTAATCATGTGTACGTGTATATCAAGTGTGCTCACGCCTCAACTTCACACAGCCAGAAGTGAGCAGCTCGGGGAGTGGGCTGCTGGTTTGCGGTGCATCGCCTGCACTGTGGAGATTTGCAATTTCCTCTGCTGCCTACCCACTCACAAAGGCGTCTCACTCTGGCCGTATTGTGAGAGTGAGCATCCCTTGAAGGGATAACAGCTTTACACTTTCAGGAACACGTTTGTTCTGTCATGAAAGGGAATTTAAAGTCGGCTTCAAAGGAGATGTCGATTTTGTTGTTTTCACTTCTTGTGAAAGTGCTGAAAATCAAAGAGGATTGAATTAAAAAAAAGTTCTCTAGAAATCTAAATTCAGTCTACACCTTCAGCTTCAATGCACTGCTTATTTATGTATTCTACATATACAGCAGTATTAATTAGTACACCAGTTGGATCAACAGGTCGCACGTGGTGGATTAAAGTGTGGGTATTCCCACCTCTTTCAGGACATCTGACCATTGTTTAAGAGTAGGCCAAAATACGCTCAAGAGGATGCCCTCCTGCAAGGCGTGGCATAGCTAAGTGATTGCAGATAGCAACCTTTAACTTTGAATTCTGGATGTCTGTATTTTACTGTCAATCCTGAGTTTAATGTGAGGTTCGTGTATTTGCGTGTGCGTGTGTATGCTTGTATGTTTTTTTTCCGCAGCATTCTCGATGAGCTTGGATTTGAGGATCAGGAAATTCACACATTTACAGAATGAGAGATGCATCTGGTCTTGAATTCCCGCAGACATTCATTCAGGTATTACAATTAATCCCTACTTAAACCTTTACGTCTACCTTAATATTATTATAATTTATAAGTCTTTAATTGAACATGTTCCTCGTTTGTACTATTTCACAACTCGTGTCTCACTTGGAATAATTTGCGAGGCGAGCAGGTATGGTGCGTGATGGTGAACGTGTCCTTGCCCACCACGGGACATCAGCGCAACTATCGTGGCATCACAGCAGCATGATGGACCAATCGTTCTACCCGTGCCCTTTAGCTCTGAGCCATAACAGCACAAACGATTGAAATATTTCATATCTACTGCCTTCCCATATCTCGACTCCCGGGATTTTAAACACAGCTGTATCCAGCTCAGCCTTTCCCGAAGCTTTTTGCTGTCATCGTTCTGCACTCCCTGCGCTTACACCAAATAAGTCTTCTCCACGGGAGACATGGGAAAACATTGGACATTATTCTAGTTCGGGTTGTGTACCTGAGCCTCCGTTTCACCGAGCCTTTCTCACTATTGAAGTCTGATTCTTGGTTCTTTCGGTATAGTCACGTAGTAGGGAAACAATAAAATAATAAAAAATATAAAACAAGACAGGTTCTTTGCAAGCCATCTGGCTACCATGAGAGATTCGTTCATGAGGCTATCCACATATACAAACACAGAGACAATTTCAACCGAGAAGATGGATTCTGGCTTAGCAATCATTGGAAGGATTTGGTAAACCATTTCGGGTCTTAATTGATTGTTCACGCTTATGGTGGCTTTCAGACCGCATCCATTATTTTCGTCTCCCCCCTCCTCTTTTCCGAACATAGATTGACTCGTCCATCTGAACAAACTGTCAAATCGCTCTCCGTGGTGCTAACGTAAAAAAAAATCCCGCCACTTTTTTCAAATTTTCTTGAGGTGGGTTTCACACCTGATGATGATTGCTTGTGTTGCAGTCGAAACGTCGTGATAATTTTATTGTTTTATATTTATTATCTTATTGTTTCCCTTCTACGTGACTTTACTGAAAGAACCAGGAATATGAATCCCTACAGTCACGAAAGCTTTAAATTAAAATTGATTGAAGTCTTGTCAATAAAGGCATGTAACCTTTCAGCCGTGCCACCCCCTCTCTCCCTACCAGTGATTTGATGAATTGTCTTGATTTGGGAGTAACAGTTGAACTCAAGAAAATAATTTGTCACATTTACCGTCTCATTTGTATTGTATGATCATTTGTGTGGTGTAATGTGTGGGGTATTCCCACCTCTTCCTAGATGTCTAGAAAGACTAGATTAGGACAAAATACCGTCTAGTAGAGGCCCTTCTACCTGCAAGTGAGCAAGCATAGTCAGATCCGCACTTATACCTTTTATATATTCTTCCTGTTGAAGGAGTCACGGCTCAAAGAATAGTAATGTAATTCCAGCAACACCTTCAGGCAGCAGAGCGTTGTGTTTGCTATGTGACGTTCGTTCTGCTAGCCTCGAGTGCATTACCATATGAATTTCATACAATTTGCATTTACCGTGAATGAGCGATTTTCCTAGACACGAAATTCGATGCACGTATCGTGAGCGTAAGATTTAGCTTTGACGACTTGATGGACACGTCTATCTCTAACCCACAGCAACATCGCGCGTGGCCATCGGCGACTTCCAAAATCCACCATGCGCGCGGTGTCGTAATCAATGCCTGCGTACTCTTTGGTTCTATTCGGTAAAGTCACGTACGTAAAAAAAAATAAAACAACAAAAATCACGACGTTTTGGCCACAACACAAGCGGCCTTCATCACAACACAAGCGGCCTTCATCAGGCCGCTTGTGTTGTGGCCGAAACGTCGTGATTTTTTTTTACCTACGTGACTTTACCGAATAGAACCAAAGAGTATGGATCCTTGTAGTCACGAAAGCTTCACATCTAGAATTGAATGCCTGCGTGCCCACCCTCGGATCACGACAGTGTTCGCTAACATCGCTGCTAAAACGAGTGCCTTATCTTGCTTGAAAATGTTGTTCCGTGCGGCCCTAAATTATTATTTTTCCTTGAGAGTAGTTTTGAAAAAATGTGAGTGCGAAAATAAAAACATTTAACGATTTCTCCTTAGCAACGGCTGACCTATTTTTTTTAGAGGAAACGGCAAAACCATGATTTCGTGTGGCCAATGAAAATGAACTGTAGATTCAGTTTTAAGTAATTTAGGCATTCATTTGCTTTGTCCTTGAGTTGCTGAAATGCAGATACAACGACCCACCCACTCAGCCACCCACTTCATCACCTACTCACCCACGCACCATATGGGGCAGTGTGAAGTTATGCGGTCCATGGTTTGTTTTTCGTAGCCGCAGTCGCAGAAAACCAGGGCATGATAGCATATCTAAAGTAACTCCACTAGCTAGGCGAGAGGGGTAGATCACAATGGGTCGTTTACCTTTGTTATGCTGTACTCTTTAGCTTGAGGCAGAAAATGTCCTTCCTGGAGCTGTATGGCAGAGCATAAAACAACATCAGATGAGGGGTCAAACCCTCAAAGATACGACCACAGAATTACTTCGGTGATTGAAACAATCTTGGAACATAACTTGCTGTGGTATCAAAAAAAAAACATGACATTAAATTGCCACGTTCGAACATGAACACTACCTTGCAGGAGTAAAAGTGTACAGAAGTTCAACATTTTGGGTTTTTTTTTCTTGCAGTGACTGGAATAGAAACATTTGGAAACAGCCGACTATAGAGGGCCATCCATGTATAGTTACCACACTAAATTAGTTGGTAGAAATTCTAGACAAAACATTTTACTTCAAAAGCTCTACATTGTCACCCACCAATTCCAATGCACTTTTTAAAACATTTTAACAGCCTCCTTGGTAACATATGCGGCCATGGTTTTCACAATTGTTAAATCACTTTTTGAGAAGAGGGTCATTCGAAATATTTTGGGTGTCTAAATGTATCACCCCGAGTGTTTCGTCTATGATAACAAGATGAGTTATTTTATTTCTGTAATTCCAATATGCCACTAACACCCAACATACCTATTTTGTGCAACTTTGTACATTTAAGTTGTTGAAGCAGGGTTGTCCAATTAAGTTGTTTAACTCGGTGTCACAATTTGGTTCCTAATGTATTAACGAATGGCCTAAAATCATCGCACTTGTTACACTTGAGAATAACCTGCTTTAATCGCAGTTGGGATTACATCCTGATGCAAATCGACTGGGATCTGTGGCATCGCCATTATAAACCAACTGAATTACCGAGCCACTGCTAGGAAACTGTAAATCTCACTAAAACAGGACGATATTCATCCTACATTTTGTGTAGAGCGTCCTGAGAGATTGCTCAGTGGAGTTTGATTGTCTTGTGCTGTAAATTTTTGTGTACGGTCAATACGACCATAAAACAGCCTCGTGACATGACCAATTTAGCTCGTATGTGAGGTCGCGATACTCCTATTGTCATTGATTTGATGTAACCACGTGGTATAATTGGTATTTACTCGGCATTTGAATGCAACTAATCTCAAGGTGCCATGTGCGTAGCATAGATGCGCACATCAAGGGAGCCCAGAATGTCTCTTTTTTGTATAATATTCACAAGTGGTAGGGAGGGGCTGAAAGACAGGAGATGAAGGTATGACATGTCAAGCCAAATACATGCAATTTTAAAAAATTTAACAAATCATAGGTGGAGCAGAAGGTCTTGAGCCTGAACAAATAGCAACGATCTGCAGTGCCGAAATCCATCATCATTATCCTCAGTCCTGATTTATTCATGGCTGTATGAAGGCCATCCCGAGCCGTTTCCATTTCTCGCGAACTGATTTCATTGCTCCGTCTCCACAGTGGACATCTTCATGGACATGTTTCCTCCCTTTGCTGACATCCATTATGTATGTAGTGTATGTTGGACGTACGTAGCCAACCGTGCTAATTGGAGGTGCGGAGGAAGGACAACAAACTAAACACAATAAGCAGTTCTAAATAAATGAGTTTTCATTCTAGATTTAAAAGTGCATAGCAGGGGAAAGCCCATTAATTAAGAGGGAAAGTTCACTGCGCAAACACAATCAGCAAAAGGACTGCTTTTGGGCAATAGTGGAGAGAACCTCATCACGTTAACTCGAGCATTTAGCCGTTGATTGATTGGCTTTGATTGACTGGGATCACGTGCTTGATCGAAGTGAGAGCCAATTGGGATTACAGCGAACATCGCTGTCGGATGTGTTTTTGGGAGTGTACAGTACAGCGTTTTTGTCAGGCACAATGTTGTGTCTGACATTTTACTCCATGTGCTGAGATCTTCAGGAACTTAAGCAAAACGTCAGACATTGTGCCGAGCAGCACACCGTTCAACCTGAGAACGCACGGGAGAGCCATACAGCACAACCGTGAAAACGTATGCAGTAGTGTTGTAACGTATGTGTTTATGTTGAACTTCTTTTGCGCCGTACGTAGCCAACCGTGCTCATCGGAGATGTGGAGGAAGGGCAAGCTATACACAAAAGGCAGTTCTAAAGAAATGAGCTTTCAGTCTAGATTTAAAAGTGCATTGCTCCAGTGACTTCCTAATATCGGCAGGAAGATGGACGGTACAGAGCTACACACCGTGAAACTGCTTTGTGTATAGCCCGCCACTGTTACAGGAAGCACAACCCACCCAAAGCGGTCAGAGGGTAGCACCGTAGCCTTAAAACATTAAATCCAGTCTTTTTCATGGTTCTGCAATGAATGAAACTGAAAAGGCACGACCACTTTCATTTTGCCGAAGCCTTTTCAGTCATCCCTAAAAGCGAAAATAAAAACACAGGCCGGTTAAGGGACGTTCTGTGGGGGTGGGATTTATTTGCAATAATTGCTCAATTGTGGCACCCTAACGATCTTCAGTCTTTTCCAAGACGCCCTATTAAAGTGACCGCTATTCTGATATAGATTTCAAGCCTTGCCAAAAAACGGTCTTATTGTATTTTCACAATTGCAATGGCCATAACGCCAATTCTGACCCGCCCCTACTGGACATGTTAAAAAAAGAGTTTCGTATCTCATCGGATTCCTCCAGGTTAAATAAAGATTCTGATTCTGTTAAGATCAATAAAATGCCACGCTGGTTACTTTTTATAGGTTGAAGTGGTTGGCAGGAAACGTGCAAGGACATTTGTCCAGACACAGACACAATGATTGTATCAGTTTTGGTAAATATCTCGGCAGCACCAGTGTGTATGGCTGGTCATACGAGTTTCTCCATGGGCATGTGGTGCCATTTATCCTTTGACTCTTCGTTGTTATCTGCTGAGAACATGTTCCCGAGACTGCTATATGGGGCACGCTTTCACACTCGCGGTAATTGTTTTGTCGTGCGTGATGACACGCATGACATTTTTCTCTGCGCCGTGGTCGTGGGTAGTTTGCTCGCATTTGGTAGTTACGCCTAAATGAGCTGATTGTGTGAAGCTTCACCCGGACACTTTATAAGGGCCCGGTTGTGAGCGCGAGAGATCGTGATTAAAGCGCAGTGTTTCCATGGAGGTGGTGTGTTGGTGGGGTTTTTTTTATGTCCCTTTGTCCCCTCTGGCCAGATGTTAACTCTGGGGTGCCACCGTGGCGAGATGTTAACTCCCTCGCCTGGTATGAAGGAGGTCGTGGGTTGGATTC